ATCAAATATTTTAAGAATACACATTTCAAACTAACAAGTATATTTACAAAAAGAAATAACATTGCACAGGTGTTTTTCAAATTTTCAATATCAATAGATTTGACATTGACTTGTTTAAGTTGCAATTTAAGAACTGTTTTGAACACCACATATTTTTAAGTTCCCGTGGGGTATGTTATAGTAATCGCAAAAAAAATCGAAAATGAAAATTTTTGTATATCTCTACGTTTCAAAGGTTTCTGAACATTTTGGCATTCCTTAGAAAAAATGGATGTATGTGTGAGAGTGTGTGTGCGGATACAAATTTTCGTCGATACTGGTCAACCGATTTGAATAATTCAAAAAAATTTACCTGTATTGATAAAATGAAAAACTGATTAAATTTTGGGGAAGACAGGTCCAGCGGTTATAGACTCTCAATAAAAATAAGTTAAAAAAATGTCATTTGGCGGTCAAAACTGTTTATTAGACATATGTACATCAAATTATCAGATATTTTATAGAGATTTTAATAATGTGTACACATTTTGTGTATTTTTTTTGGGTTCCGTACCAAGATTTTTAATTACGATACGGGAAGTTCCAGCAATTTGCCTTAAGGCGCGATGCCATGCACCCCACTAGTTATCTTGCATATTTATAGTAAAAAATATAATCAATAGCTTGATTTTTTATACTGACAATTTTCGGTTTCGGTTTCGGCCCATTACAATAACTTACCCTACGGGAAGTTAATTATAGAGTAAAATAATTAAAATACTTAAATATTCAAGATAAATAGAATGTCATAGAATTTAGGGATCAAGAATTGAACATGAATTGTTAATGAGCATAAGATATAATTATGAACGTGACAGATTAATTATCATAATTTTATTGATCACAATAGTTCTTTTAATATTGATAAAAATATTAAATGTTATATAGTTCATTTAATATATTTGAAATGTGAACTTACTTCATAAAAAGTAGTGCCATAGCAACAAACTGAACAAAACGCATATTATCGTTACAGAATTTGCGATGTCCGTCATTGATACAAACATTGATGATAATGCTCCCATTTTTCTCAATTTAATAAATCCTCTCCATAAAACATACTAAATTGCAAACTGCTGCAATAAAATTTGATATCCATTTAATTCACTGTTTCAATTCACCGGTACACTAATCATTTTCTACTAATCACATGTTTGAGAATAATATTGGAAATATCCGCGATGCATCCAGCTTCGAGGCTATCAGACAACTGAGCGATCTGTTAGCGGAGTCTTTCGCAATAACCGCGGCATATTACAAAATGTGAAAGTAAAGAACATTGCGTATATATGTAATATGGTTATTGCAATATTACTCCATTTGTCTGCTGACCCTGCTTTTGAATTACAGTGATATACCGGGATAGACAAGTTACTGGGTCACCGGGTGAACAATCATTGAAATTTTGTTTGTTTTGTTAATTACGAATCGATTTCAATTGCTTTGTATTAGGTCATAAACACTTGTTATAATTATCAACTTTGCACTGTTTGTGGTTAAGTACGGTGTAGTAAACAATTAAATTTTGATTACTAGAACAAAAACGTATTATCAAAAATGAATTCTGTTTCGAATCTTTTTTTGGCAGCTATGAATCAATGATTTGAAGCGTCACTGTGACACAAATAAACGTCATTCATTTTGACATTTGTGCAATTTTGAAACTCACATGATGTAAACCATAGGTATACAAACAACATAATATAGACGCTACACTCGATTCGCTGCGGCGGCGCTGCAGTCGTACCAGCAAATGCGCGGCGTATTTGAAATGATAGATTGATTCAATCCTAAACACTGATGATTGTTATTTCTGCAAACATGTGTTATGGAAGTATTAATGGGTGCTTTAGAATATTAATAAATACGGAAATTTGAAATTTTTAAATGCCTTTTTGAAAATCATAGTAAATTTTAACTACCCGAAGGAGAAGTTTACGTTTCAAACCATTCTGAATCTAATGAAACCAAATTTGGAAAATTATGTGTTTATATGAGCCGATTTCCGACGTCGACGTTTTCTCAAAAATGGTTGGACCGATTTTAAGCATTTAAAAGCCATTCGATGTAACTCGATTTGGTCTAGTGTTTACCAGGTTTGTGCAACGACTAGCCTAGTTTCTTTGTAATTAGCAGAAAATGTTTCAGTCATGCCTTTCAATCATGCTCATAATATCTTTAATTGTATCAATTAATTTAATTTGTTTAACACTAATATAATATAAACAATCACTAATATAAATAATTTAGTTTCATCCATTTCTTATTCAAAAAATGTATCTTATTTTCGTGTGGATGTTAAAAACTGTTTTAATGTTTTAATGTTTCATAAAAGTAACAATCTTAATGGCATTGAGCTTTTACATGGGATGGTTGCTATCCCTGGATAGCAGAAAGTTTTAATGGGACAAATTGTCTACTTCTAGAAGTAAATTCCGCGCAACAACATGTTCAATAAATAATAAATCAATATATCATCTTCAATTAGAACTTAGAGACAAATCAGTGGTTGTAATAAAAACTGCAACAAATATATAATATACAAACAAATCAGTGTTTTATACAGTTCACAGCTACAAGAGTTAAATTATAACCCAACAACCTGAGTTATCGAAAAAGAGTTTAATCATAAATTATATAAATACGTGGCAGTAAACATGTTCCTTAAATATTACTTAGGTATCGCGTTAAATAGTTTTTGATATAGATCGACTGGGCCGTTTCTTTGTAATTGAATATCTAAAACAATTTTTGACATTGTTGATGAAACTGGAAAACAAACTAAAATATTAAAGGCTTGCTATAAGCAGTTGAATTATACAATTTTATCAAAGTTTATAATTAGAAATATTCCTAAGCATTACGTTCCTACGTTCATTGATGTTTTGTAGGTGGCTACTGATTACAGTTAACCACCACGCTTCAATAAAATACATTTTTAGAACAAGAAATAAATAAAATGAATTTATTTATATTTGATTAGTTTTTATATTTTTAATATAGAAATTTTTTATATTTTTACCAACAAAACCGATTTGATAATTTTATATTTTCTCCATTTGCGTAGTTGTGGGTCAAAATCTCAACTTACGTTGACGTTTTCGACGGCGCCGATTTTAAAACTTCAAAAGTCATTTGATGAAAATAGATGGAGACTAGTCGTTGATTAGTTATGTGCAATTTCCTTATCTATGTGTGCAATAATCACCGAGCCGTTACATTATAAATAACAGAAATTTGCAAAATATTTCATTCACGTTTTCGCAAAAAATTCTAGACTAGGTTTAAAATTTAAAAGCTCAAAAAATACTATATTGGTCTTGCTGATCAGTTTCTGATAAAGATCAGCCGGATCATATAGACTGCATGACGACGTGTCAATGAACTTTTTTTTAATACTATGAATTTAAACTCATTACCTACAAAAGCTTATAAAATTGTTATAATGTGAATAGGTATAAATGCTATTATGGATGGCATCAGATGGCATTATGCCTGAAGCCAAATTATTGGAACTTCCAATTCTTGAAACACCAATTCGTTCACACATTAAAATCATGAAACGAACTAAAATTGTAAATCTGCCAAAAGTATAAAAACTTAGAAAAATTCAAAAATTGCCACGAGTTTTATTGATCTATAAATTGGAATATATTATACTCTATTATTCTAATATTTTTTCGTTTTTTTTCGCAAATTGATAAAAAAAGTTTAAGCATATTCAAACCACTATCAAAAAGAAAATAATCTATACCTGTGTTAACCAATATTATTTTCACTGATGTTATTCCTTGTTTTAAATATATTATACAGTTACAATAGTTCCATTAAATTTTAATATTGAACAACCTTGATATCGAGCAGTTGCGATATCAATTTTCACTTGGGAATATAGATTTTAAATATATTTCCCAACAGATTTTAAATAAGTCAAAACATCTCTATTAAATAAATCCTAATACTAAAACTAGTGGTGTGTAGCATCGTGCCCTAAGGCAAATTGCTGGAAATTCCCGTATCTTAAAAAAATATTCTAGAAATATTGAATGTTTTCAAATAGCTTATTATAAATAATGTAACTTTCATTATTCTTATTTTATAAAAAGTAAATAAACAAAACTTAATCAATCGGATTTAAAATGAAGAACATTGTCTTCTATTTCTAAGTATTATATGAACTGAATTGTTAAAATCATTCATTTGAATTATATAAATGATGTTTAGAATTTTAGCTAGAATAAAAATTGAAAAAATGATATAAAAAAAATTCTTTTCACAAAAGTAATCGTTTCGTCAATACAATCATAAAGTTTTTTGAGTCATTTAAATTGGATGCTTGCTGATTGATTGATACGCTGAATTGCGATTTCAAAAACCGCCATTTCTTGAACATTTAGGTGGACACATTGAGTTAGTAACGACTGGACCTGCCTTTGCAAAAATCTAATCACCACTTCTTCCCATCATTACGAATCAAACGTTTTCTAGATCATTCAAATCGATTGATCCGTTCTCTTAAAAACTGACTTTTTTTTAGCACTTTTTGCTTCATATCTCGGAAGCCATTGGACCTGTCTTCCTCAAAAATTAATCAGCATATCTCCCTATCAATAGGAATCGATTGCTTTTAGAATTTTTCAAATCGGTCCATCCGTACGCCCGAAATCGTCGACAAAAAATTGTCTCCACACATACACATACACACACACATCCATTTTTTTTAGGGTATGCCAAAATGTTCAAAAACTTCTGAAACATGAAGATATACAAAACTAATCAATATGAGTTTTTAAATAAAGTTGACAGCACTTTTTGAGAAAATGTTGCCTAATTATCCTATTTTAGCTCACCTACACACATACATACTTTTTTATTTTTTGCATCAAACGATTCAGAACGACTTAAAACGCTGGGTTTTTATCCATGGTAGCATTTTCAATTTTCGGCCCATTACTATAACTCACCCTAAGGGAAGTTAATAATCAAATATGGATTAACCGTTGAGCTACCATCTAAAAATACGACGTAAGGAGAAGCTTCAGACCAACATCTTATAGGAAAAAATATAATAAAAAAATTCAATATAATATAATATGTACAAAATAATGAATACAATATAAAATATAAAAAATAACTGTACTTTGCAAACTTGATATATTTTTTTCTTATCTATGAGTGCAGAACACCGAGTATTAACATTTATAAAACTCTAATATTTAATGAATTTTAAAAATATTTTTTTATTATATCATCTAAAAATATGCCAGCTAGTACATGGTTATTTATTTATTCTTGAAATATTTTATCTTTTAATACTACATTCTCATTCCAAAAAATGTATATTTTCATTTACTCTGTTTGTGTCATTAGTTGTTAGTTCACTATTTTGACTGAAATAGGCAACAAATCATTGACGAAATACAAGATGAGTGTAACATATTTTTTCGTTATCTCACCTGACATCATCAGTTTTGATTCGGCACGAACCACTCAATAATTCAATCACTAATATACATATAGAGATCGCAATTCCGGCAGCGAGTAGAAATCCTGCGAAGTAGCAGTCGACTAATCCCACGCTAACGAAACTAGCACCCCCAGTAGTGCAAACTGGTTTCTTGGTGTAATGCAGTGCTATTTCACGAGATTGTATTCCACTTTCTCGTATTTTGAACATGCTAAAATACACATTCGTGAATTAATTAATGTATAAAAGTTATATTAGGTGCTATCCAAGGCCGGTTGCACCACGCTCGAGCAACGGTTGGATATCGTTATGCATGTTGCTCCACGGATGGATTTTGTAACAAGTTGCAAAATGCAGGCACGATGTGTTTTCCTCCAGGTAGCACTAATGAAACAATGCCGCGTTACGGAAAGGTTAATGGTTCGATAATTTTGCATTGTGGAAATATTAATTTTATATTGTTCGATGGATTATAGTTTATTTACGATAATATTTTTAACTTCTCGAAGGATAATATATGCTTATACCAGAAAATCCGTAACCGTAATGCCAATTTGATGTGTTTTCGACATTTCAAGTCATTCTGATCGCATGAGGCCAAAGTTGAACTAGAGATGCATTGCATCGTTAGGGCTTAAGGAAATTTTTAAAAATTTTCAAAAAAAATGACCTTTGTGAAAAATTTGATTTTCTTATACTTTGAAGTATTTTGGAATTGCAAAATCGCAAAAGCTAACGGCTGCGGAGAAACAAAATATAGATGCGCGTGGGCGCCGCATTGCAGTATAACGAATAAACATTGGTACGGAACCCATAGAAATGTAAAAAAAAATGTTTTCATTATTAAAATATCTGTAAAATATATGATAATTTGATGGGCATATGTCTAATGATCATTTTAATCCGCCAAATGGCATTTTTATTCACTTTTTTTATTAGATCACCGAAACCGCTAGACCTGTCTTCCCAAAAATTTCCTCAGCTCTTCAAAATCGGACTTCAAATTCAAATGGGACGCTCTTTTTGTCCAGTATCTTTGGAATAACTGTACCTGCCTTTTCCAAAAACTAATCAGCATATCTCTTTATCAATAGGAATCGATTGTTTTTTGAATCATTCAAATTGGTTGATCTGTGTTCTCGAAATCGTCGACGAAAAATTGTATCTGCACATACATACATACACACACGCACTCACATACACACACACGCACTCACACATACACACGCACAAATACATCCATTTTTCTAAGGTATTCCAAAATGTTCGCAAACCTTCGAAACGTAAATAAAATATATAAAAATGTTCTACTGAAATATTATAAGCCTACAAACAGCCTACAAAAAGCAATTGAATTATAAAAAATCATCAAAGTTTGGAAAAAAGATTCTGATCAGAATATATGCCAAGCAAATATGTACGTTTCATGTTTCGTAGATATCTACTGATTACAGTTGACGTCCACATTCAAATAAAATACATTACGTGTTAAGCAAATTAATTTAATTTATACAATTACAGATATAATAAGCATGTTTAAAAGATATAAAAAAATCGCATTATTTAGATTCAAGGAAAAGCAAAAAATTTATTTCCAAAAAAGCAATTGCACAACTTAATTACCTTAATCTCAATTGCTATTTATTCAGTGTTTTATGTTTATACCTATCGAAAATTTCTTGCAGTTTGCCTTAAGGCATAATGCCACTATTTATAGTCGTTGATTTAAAAACTAAAGATAAATTTCATCAATGGAGAATAAATATAGGTACTAGGTGTAAGTCGTTCGTTCCCAGTATGCTTAAAAAATGAATAATTATTGAGATTTAGCAACTTCAGATGGTACAAATATAGTTTATCCAATTTTGATTTGATTCAGAATGACTTGAGAGATCAAGAAAATAGTAAATTGAATTTTTCGTCAAATACATAAACTTTTTCTTTAGGAAGTTAATACCAACCGAATCTTTTGGTTACATAGCTAAATTAGTTTTGGATCAAAAATATATTTCAAACGCATATTTTCTCCTACAGTTTCAAAAGGATACAAAACTTAGTCATACTTTACTTAAATGTAATAAAATATAATAAAATTTCATCAATCTCAATATTATACTAACTTTACTTTGAAGATTTCCTTGTATGGAGAACGTTTCTGCACCGGCATCCATGGATCATTGAACTTCAAAAAATCTATTTCCATTAGACCACACTTTTCATCTTCGTAGAATGTTTCTGATACAACTTTGTATCCGGCACCACGTTCCATATGGAAAGCAAATAAACCCTATTCATAAAAAAAATGTAATTTTCTAAAAAAAAAAACAGAATATAAATGCTTGTACTCTTACCTGTCTCATTTTATTAATACCATCTTGCTGGCTGAAAAAGTTTGGTTTTTTATTTTTCGGAGCAACTTTTTTCTCATAAATTTCCTTCCGAACTGGATCAGTTGCTGTCTACAAATATGACCTTATTAACTACTATAGTTAAGACCAAATCTAAGTAAGACCAAAAATAATTGCAATTTTGAATTTTTACCGAAAAGTAGTAATGATTATAAACAATGTCATCAACTCCGATTTTTAATGGAGATTTGAGTAAATCTTTGAGTGTTCTGATACTGTAGGTTCGAGCTTGCAGCAAAGATACTAATAAAATATAATATAGTAATTAATATTATAATAATTTTATATAAAATATTGTGTATTGTGTATTGTATATTGTGTATTGTGTTGTATTCATAAATAGTTATAATATAAATGTATTGGGATAATGCATAGCTATTTGAAATAAGGCCATAGAAACAATTCTTTTGCAAAAGTGGTTGGTATTCTATTATAAATCATAAAAATATGTATGAAAGATATTCTGTCAAAAGTAATTTTTATTGATTTCCGGAAGGTATATATTATATTTGGTTACCAAACGAAAATCCTACTTGCAGAGACTTTTTGATTATTAGATTTCTGTTGATCTATAGAACAGTTTTTTTTTAATTAACATAGAAAAATATCAGTTATTTCTAAGTTTACTTAAAAGATAGTAAAATACTCTAGTTGTTTTTGAAAAATTAATTATTTTTAGAGAGATATCGATAAGATATCATAGTAGTTTTATTAGTCTATAAAATGAATCAGCCAAGCATTTCAGAGAGTATTTGTGTTTTCAAAAGACCGTTGGCCAGTTTTTCTTCATAATTCAAACTTGGTTTGAAAAAAAACATTATTCAAAAATATTAATTTTGTTTAATTAATAAACATGAGTTGCAACAGATTTGTTTAAAAATTAAACATTACGGTTTGACTTTATTATTATTTAAAGTTTGAACATATGATCAAACCATTCTTTGCAATTTTCTAGAATTTTTTAGAATTTCAGCTAGATTTAGAAGTAAATTCCGAATTATTTTTGATATTAAAAAAAACAATTGAAAATTAAAAAAAAAATTCAAAAATAATTGTTTCGTCAACACGAGAACAGGGTTTTTTGAATCACTCAAATCGGATGCTGTGTTCTCTCAAAAACTGACATTTTTTGCACATTTAGCTCCGTATCTCCAAAATGACTGGATCTGTCTTTGCCAAAAACTAATCACCACTTCTTTCCTTCAGTACGAATTATTTTTTTTTCGATCATCCAAATCGGATACTCCGTTCTCTCAAGAACTCGATCTCTATTTTCTGCAATCTTTGTTTCGTATGCCAAAAACTAATCAGCACGTCTCCCCATCAATAAGAATCGAATATTTTTTTAGTCATTCAAATCCGTTGATCCGTGCGCCCGAAATCGTCGACAGAAAAATGTATCCACACATAAACACACACACACACATCAATTTTTCTAAGGTATGCCAAAATGTTCAGAAACCTTTGAAACGTGAAGATATGCATAAATTTTCTTTTTCGATTTTCGGTCATTACTATAACTTACCATACGGAAAGTTATAAACATGTTTCCAATTGAAAATAGCCCATTTCGAGCACTGCGATGTGAGACGTCAATGGGAAATCTTTCACACTAGTTTTCCTTCAATCGAGTTAGAGTTTAACTCAACTCACCCACCTGCTCTAAATATAAGGCAGTACTAGCCATTGTGAGTTGAAAATTTAAAAAATATTTGGAAGTTTTCTGCTAGCATTGTCATTAAATTAACGAAAAAGTATTAAAAAAAATTATAAACAATGTTAAAAATTTTAAAAATTCAAAAACAATGCTCTCTGCCGAGAGTCAGCTTGAAATGTTGATCAATATAAAAAAATATTTTGACTATGATGAACAAAATTATCGAATCTGGAAAGAGTAGCAAGTTTATTTAATTACATAGTTTTATTAAGTTACTTACCTATATTAGCGGTGTATGAAGTATATAGAAACATAACAGCCACAAATAAAAATAAAGTAACTATTCTTCCTGCAGGATATCTTGGACTTTTAGGGGGACTCTGTTGACATATTGCTCCCAATGACAATAGGAAAGAATTGCTTACTGTTATCCAAACTCCTGTATTCTCCTAGAATATATTCTTCTTATTAAGAATTAATTGATTATAAAGATACCTCTGTACTCACATCTGTTTCTAGCATTGATGTACAACTAATAACAAATATCATTAAAAGGATAAAAATCAGACTAGCGAGCCATACACCTCGATCAAATGGAAGAAGATATAAGTTTTGGACATAACTTAAAGGAGGAGCCCTGAACACAAATCTTGCCTGGGTCGGTGTGGTCATAGATATATATTCAATTAATGACACTCGATCAGTAGTCAAAAATAATGGAGTACCTACAAAGAAATGTGTATTTTTATATAGTACCTAATAATAATAATTTGCTAGAGATAAATAGTAATGTAATATTTATTAAATAATTATAAACCTATATCTGCTTCTCCTCGATGCAATTGTCCAAGCATTCCGTTCCATCCTCCTACAGAATTTGGATCCTTGTAACCCCATGATGGTACCATTGTGTAAATCTTGGTTGCATTCACAATATCCAATAGATGATTGCTTAATTTATAAGCTGCTTTTGTGATAGTATCAATGTGTTTATCTCTGAGAAAATAAATGTTTAAAGTTATTAAAGCAATGTTTGGACATACGGCATAGTACTTTGGGGTAATGCGCGTGAAAGCATCAGAAACATCATCCATAATTCCAGAAAAGTCTTGGAAATGCTCTAGAGGTGGTCCTAGTTATGCCTCGAGCTGATATATAAATATAAAATATAGATAACGTTGATATATAAAAAACAAACACATTTACAGTGAATAAAAATGTCAGTAGATTTGGTATTAATCACAAGTACAAACTAGAAAATCATCCAAATGAACTGGCCAAATCACTGCTGTCGATGAACTCTAATAGAAGGCTTAAGAATAAAATATTTTTAGACTTATTATTAGTTAATATCTCATTAAATGATGTCAACTAATACTCCAATTCCTTAATGGAAAAAATGCAACTGTGCATAAGTTTACATAAAATAGTGTTGAAAAAGCATTCAGCTAAAACTAAATGAGCAGCAAGAAAAACTTAATAAGAAACTTTATATTAAAGGTAATGGTAATTTTAAGAATTTAAAAATAAATTTAAAGTACAACTAACAGAAATTTTATTAAAACTTAGATATTTATATTTTTCAGCTATGTATTTATGTATGATTATTACTGAATTATGTATTTAAAAAAACAAAGGTATATATAAAATTATGTTTTTATTAATAGTCTCTTCAAAAAATACGCCTTATTGCCCTTGGAGCAATTGGAAAGCAAAATACGGTAAATTAATAATATTAAAATATACAATTATTCATTTAAAAAAATAAAATCTATTATTCCAGAAAATAACTTTTATAAAAAAAAGATTAATAAAGAGGTGCTTTACAACTATCATATGACGCGAGTACAATAACTTATTTTTAGTGATATAAATATAATTAACAAATGATAAATACTTAAACAATATTTGCTTACTTGTAATCTTCTAAATGATTTTGTGAGTCATTATGAGTTATTACTAAAGAAGACGTAATCGGTGCTCCATAAAGATTTCTCCTGCGCCTTGAATTTATAGGGCTAGTTCTGATATCCATTATTCCTTCATTTTCTGACCAGTATCCAAATGGTTCATATGTTAGATTGCCCATTTTCGATGTTTTATACGCTTTTAATTGGATAAATGAGATATAAGTTAGTTTAAATCAATTCAATTTATAAATTTCAAACCTTGATCTAAGGAAAAGCCTGATAGAAATTCTATCGCCAGAATCAGATTACTGTCAGCGAAAATATCATATGGTTCCAAGTTGATCTCATGTGCACCAAATAGAATCCATGTGTATGGAAAATTAAATAAGTTTTCTTGGTTTGCCTAGAAAAATTTACATTATTAGAGAAAAAAATCTTAGTAATAGTGAAATACTTTAAATGTAGTAGTAGTAAAACCTCACCTTTTCTAAAATATCTAGAGCAAAGGGACAATAAGTATCTAAAATAAAAACTTCATGTTGTTGAAATCCCAATAGATCAACTTGATTTCTCTCCTGATATGATTGCGAAATCCGCAGCATGGTCAATGGAATTTCTCGTCGAATATAAATTAATTCATCTAAATTGATCAAAAATAAATATAAGCCACAAAAACAAAATTCAATTCATTAATTTGAATTTATTTAGAATAATATATACCTTCTGTCCAGCATAAATATGCAGTCAATATCGAAGGAGATTTTGAAGCGGAAATATAATGCTTTAAAAATGCTGTGTATTTAATAACTTTGGGATTTATACTTGTAGCCAATGGTATCAGTAGTAAAATATAAAAATACTAAAAAATAAATAAACTAGTTGGTATTGGTATTTTGCCTTGAGGCAAGTTACATTAACTTCCCGATATGTGTAAATAATCGGCTTAATCAATAAAAAATAAATTAATTTATGAGTGATTAAAAGTATTCCGAGTGGATTTATTACGCATAATTGAAAACGAAAGAACACATTAACTCGGAGTATTTTCAAAAAGTAAATTTTCAAAAATCAACAATTTTTATAATTGAACCAGTTTCCGTAGGATTTTCCGATAGTTTAGTATGCTCATTAAGACCAAGTACTCTATCGTTATACCAAGAAAATCGTCTAATTTTAATTTTAACAAACGTTAAAAATTTTCTCAAGCTTTGAAAAAAAGTTCCATAAAAATCGACAATAATTTTTTTTCAACAGTTGATTTCAAAAAAACGGCTTGGTAGGTTTTTACGTAAAACTAATCAGTACCATTTCCAAACTAGTGGGGTGTGTGGCATCGTGCCTTAAGGCAAATTGCTGGAACTTCCCGTACCGTAACGAAATTTTCGAGGAATACTGAATGTTTTCAAATAGATTATTAAAAATATTGTAACATTGTCTAATTTTTATAAGAATTATATAAACTGAATTGCAAAGTTGAAATTATTTGTTTAAAGTATATTATAACTATTATCAGAATTAAAAATAAAATCTGAATTATTTTCGATATACAAAAAATTAAAAAAAAAAAAGTTGAAAAAAATTTTTTTTTCCAAAATCTATTATTTTCTTAAGACAAGCAGAAAGTTTTCTGAATTAATTAAATCGGACGCTTAGTTCTCTCAAAAACTGCCATTTTTTGTACATTTAGCTCTTTACTAATAATCACTTCTCTCAATCATTACTAATTGAATGTTTTTTAGATCATGCAAATCGGATGCTCTGTTCTCTCAAAAACTCGATTTTTATTTTATGCTCTCTTTGCTCTTTATATCCGTAACTGCTGGACCTGCTTTTGCCAAAAACTAAACAGCACATCTACTTATCAAAAGAAATCGAATGTTTTCTGAACCATTCAAATCGGTTGATCCGTACGCGCGAAAACATGGACGAAAAATTGTATCCATACATACATACACACACACATCCATTTTCTCTGACGTATGCCAAAAATTTTTGAATTTTCAAAATCGATTCAGAATTCAGAAACGCGAGAAACGTGGACAAATTTTTTTTCACTTTTCTGCGATTTGGTCTCATTTAAATCAGAATGGCTTAAAACGTCGAGAAAACATAAATTAGTGAATCGAATTTTTTGATGAAAACATAAACTTGACCTTCAGGAAGTTAATAAAATTTTAACATCTTTTTAACGTCATAGTATATAATTAAAACTTAATATGATAGTATGGCATTTAGGAGAAAAAAATCCAAAAAACATATTAACAATTTTCACATTTCTCATGAAAATATTATATACACATAGTTACTTGACGCTCAAAAATGAAAACGTTAAGGAGTTATATAAAAACAAAACTTACGTTTATAATCATTTTTGTTTTTATTTTTAAAGATCTGTCGTGCAAACCCTTTGGAACTAATTTGTGTTACTAAATTATAGTTTCAAATATTTGTGCTAACCAGCAAAATTAGTAATAACTCTTCCATGATACGTGAAATAAATTATTAAAATGGTTAATGATATGGGAGAGTAGCTTTATGGTAGAGATCCATAATTATATAAAGCGTAACCATCAATTTATCAAATTACGTATTATTTAGGAAAATTCAAATTGAAAATAATTAATAGTTTAAAAATTTTAAGTACTTACACATTCATTAACAAATGGATCAAAAATAGTTCATATCAATTTAATAATCTAATAAAATAGATTTAGAAATAAATAATAAAAAGTAATATAATGTTGGTAAGTATATAGATAATAATAATGGTTTATTTTCAAATTTTTCAAAATATATTACCATAACATCTCAGCACATTTAGGAGTAAATTTGGGTGTCATAGATTGACCTTAAAACTTAAAAAAGATTCTAAAAATAAATTGAAATAAGTATAGTAATATAGTGTTTTCTATAAAAATTGGTACTCCATTTATTCTAAAAGCAATTTAAAAACTTAATAACAAATTAAAATTAACTTTATTTTGCTTGAAGTGTAGAGAAACAGATCACCTATTGATAATTTCCTAGGCACAAAATGTTGTTAAAAAATGCAGATCTGAGGGTTATTGTAAGGAAATTTTAAGAAGCACAAAGGTTAGTATTAAAAGAATGAACAATTAGACTAAAAATACATTTTAATGTTATTGCATTATTATTATTTCCAGAGACACAATGATAATATAGCAGAATAAATCATGCTACAGACATGCAGTATCTACCGTCGCTTTAAAAGAATATTTCAATGTTATTATATTTTTATTATTTTTAGAGATAAATTTGTAATACAGCAGACTAGATCAATGTTTCCTAAAATTCTTAATCTACCAACACAATACCTTCCATTTATTTCATTATTTAAAAAAAATGCTTAATTTTTCATTAAATCCTTATCATTGGTTGTCACAGCATCCTTATCACTAGGAAGTAATTCAGAACTATTAGGAACATCATTAATATATTTTAAATGTTAATATTATTTTTTACCTCTGTTTACCAAAGATGGTTTTGCGAGTGCCGAACAAAAGTTCAAGCACTAAAAGGCATATGGATATTGCAATTCCTACACAAAGTAGAAATCCTGCAAAATAGCAATCGAGCAATCCAACGCTGACGAAACTGGCGCCGCCGGTAGTACAAAACGGCTTCTTAGTGTAATGCAGGACCACTTCTCGAGATTGGATACCACTTTCTCGAATTTTGAACATACTGAAATAATAGATTATACAATGTGAGCCGAACCCGGGATAATAGTTCCGAGAAGACAATTATCGACTGCTATATGAAAAAGTGTCAACAACATATATAGTTTTAAAAAATAACTAGTGGGGTGCATGGCATCGTGCCTTAAGGCAAATTGCTGGAACTCTTCGTACCATAATTGAAAATTTTGGTACGGAACCTAAAAAAAATTACACAAGATGTGTACACATTATGAAAATCTCTATAAATAAATATCTGATATTTTGATGTGCATACATATGTCCAATAAACATTTTTGACCGTCAATTGACATTTTTTTAACTTATTTTTATTGAGAGTCCATAAACGCTGGACCTGCCGTACCAAAAATTTAATCAGTTCTTCATCTTGTCAATAAAAGTAAATAGTTTTTTGAATTATTAAAATCGGACGCTCCGTTCTCTCTTAAAAACTGAGTTACCGTTTTTGGCACTTTTTGCCCCGTATCTTTGGAATGGCTAGACCTGCCTTTGCCAAAAACTAATCAGTACGTCTCCCTATCAATACGAATCGACTGTTTTTAACAATTGTTACGAATTACTCAAATCGGTTGATTCGTGTTCCCGAAATCGTCAACGAAAATTTGTATCTGCACACACACACACACATACGTCATTTTTTTTCTAAGGTATGCCAAAATGTTCAGAAACCTTTAAAACGTTAATTTATATAAAAAATTTCATTTTCGATTTTTTGCGATTACTAAAACTTACCCTAAGGGAAGTTAATTATAATCATAAAATATTAATAATATTTAATAATTGTATTTTAATTGATTTATAAGGTTAAACCACTTCTCATAGATCTCTAATAGTTTACTCCAGCCGGTTTGGGCATAAAATCTACCATTATACTTGATTTCATCAAATTCAAATTTTGAAGTAGTGATCATATAAACCCTATAGGGTAGGGCGAGGCACAAAGATTCAACTTGACTTTGAGCAATTATATTGTGAAAACCAAAGCAATTACATCACAACAAATCACACATATCAAACAACTATCAGAATATGTTTTGTTTAATTACTCGAGTTTTTTTGCTATTTTTCAAAAATTTGTAACGTAGCCCATTTTACCCCCGTGAGAGCAAACAGATCTATTGTCTTATTTTAATATTAGAGGGATTGTTTTTACAAAATAATAGCTACATTATTCAACCAATGCAAAATATAAGTAACCTTGAATTGGTATTTTGTCAGAAATATTCATCAGCAGAGTCGGAACAACTTTTTTTTGTAAAATTGCTTTATTTAACTTAATGTACCTTTTTTCCTATTTTACACTTTTGCTCAGGTAAAGTTTTAGTTGATCTTTTTTACCCCACCCACGTGTAAGCTTTTGTAGAGGTTGTATAAAAATCTTACAAAAGAATTGAATAGCGTATACTTAAACCACCAAGCTAACTAAACAACAGTGCTCACAACAAAAAATCTAACAACAACAAAAAATACTTTAGTCAAGGATTTCCAAACTTTATCTTCCGATAGCGACGTCATAAGAATCAAGGAAATGTCTGGTTACACACCTATTTTCCCCTTCTTTTAAATATTTTTGGAAAAAAGTTCCTAACAATACTTGCTTTTAAGATATCGGCGGTGGACCTTTTTACCCATGGACCTTTAAACTCCGTTCTATCCTATACCCTGATAAGGAAAGGAAAATTGATCGATTGTACACAACATATAATTTGAAGCAGCGATCATATATATCATGTATAAGACAAATACTGAAAAGAAACGGAAACTAGGTCGGACCCATTGACGTCGTCGAATGTAAAATAGCAGGACTGAAAAGATTTGGAAGAAGAAGAAAGCAGATGGTTGATGACTGGATGCATGATGGTCATGAAAGGAAAATTTACAAGAGTGAATAAAAAGTGACTAATGATAATAAAATAATAATGGGAATGATAAACAAGGGAGAAAACGGGAATCAGTGATTTGTGGTGCTCTCATACCATCAATTTTATAAATTTCCATTTTTGTTCCGATTTTTTCCCCGACTTGAAATTATACGCTTAATTCAAAATTGCAACATTTTTAATTAGATACAAATGTAAAAAAATTGAAGTTCTTGTAAGATTTCAGAATAATTTACTTCTAAACATTGCGATTTTCATATCTCAGTCAGACAGATGTGTCTGGTATGAGAGATTATGAAGACAGTTTTTATAAACATAAACAGTTTGCGAATTTATATATATATCCTTTAGTCTAAAATACAAACTTTATCTTGAATATCTCCTTATATGGAGAATACTTCTGAACTGGCATCCATGGATCCGTGAATGACAGAAAATCTATTTCCATTAAGCCGCATTTTTCATGCTCATAGAAGGTCTCTGATACTATTTTGTAGCCAACTCCTCGTTCAAAATGGAAAGCAAACAATCCCTATAATAAGAATAATAAATTAGATACATACATATAATGGTCCTGTGTGTTATTATTTAAAAAAACAGTTACCTGTCTCATTTTATCAATTCCTTCTTGTTCATTAAAAAAATGAGGTTTCTCGCCCTTTGGAGCAATTTTATTTTCATAAATTGCTTTTCGTATCGGCTCTTTTGCTGTCTATAAATAGTAATTATTAGTTAAAATTTATGAGAAAATAGTAGTTAATATAATAGTTTGTTAATAAGAAATTTAATATTTACAGCTGAATTGTTTAATTTTAAATCAGTAAGTTAACATAGAATCCAGTACCCCATAATTGTGATCGTGCAGAAAATCATCTATAGAATTGAGTCGCAATAGAAAATTGCAAGCTAAGAAGACTCTTTTATAATATTTTCTAATTATTGATATTTTTTAAATTAATAGAATGTATTTATTTCTCAAGAATCTACTGCTTATAAAAATTTTGATAAATTCAGCCCCTCGCTAGATTAAAAAACAAACAAACTTTCATATATCTGGTTAAAAATATTGTTAAACCAATTTCCCTATACTATCTACTATTCAAGAAAAAATATTATCTTATTAGATTTTCAAAATCAACAAACTTAATTAAACTTGATTTATCAATTTATTTCAAATATCGATCAGTCTCTGACTGATCGGGATCAATTTTGACTAGAATTTTCATCTGATTTCTCCTTAAATCTGAATTGATCGTTATAGAATTGATCTCAACCAACTCAACGTCTGTTTAAATTAAGATCTGTTCAAATTAATTGCTATTTTAATTATAAGTATTATATATAATTAATTAGAATATATTGGAGATTGAAAATTATTACTAATTAAGACGTTTACCGAAAAATAATAATGATTAAAAACAGTATCGTCCACTCCGAGTTTCATAGGTGAATCAAGTAGATCCTTAAGGGTTCGAATGCTGTAGGTTCGAGCTTGAAGAAGAGATACTAAAATTATATTAATATTTATTAATTAAATTATAAAAGACTATTGCTGGATAAAACTTGTCATCTAGTTGTATCAAAATAATGTTTAGATCACTACAATCTACCAATCAATCTTTAATCAATATATTAAAGAAAAATGAATGAAACAATTTCACCTATGTTTGCAGTGTATGATGTATATAAGAACATGACTGCTACAAATAGGAAAAACGAAAGTATCCTTCCAGCTGGATGATTTGGAGATCTGGAAGGTCCTTGTTGACATATAGCGCCTAATGATAACAAAACAGCGTTACTTACAGTTGTCCAAATCCCAGAATCTTCCTAAAATTTAGTTTAATAAATTCTATAAAGTTAGTAGCAGTATAAATGTTTACCAACCTCATGTTCTAATATCGATGTGAAACTCATAGCCAGAACCATTAATATAATGAACGCCAAACTAGCAATCCAGACTCCATCATCAAATGGCAAAAGATATAAATTACTGACATAACTCAGAGGAGGTGCTCGAAAAACAAATTTGGATTGTGTGGGTGTTGTCATCGATATATATTCAATTACAGGTATTCGATCAGCAGTCAAAAATAGTGGAGTACCTGAAAAATAAAACTTGATCTGGTTTATACCTAATAGAAATTATTTTAGAAATCTTATTGTTCAATTAGTGTATAGACTATTACTCAGAAGACTTTGTTAGTGATTTTAAAATCAGAAACGTTCAAAGTGATTGAAAGGGTAAACATGTTTTTATATTGTTGTTGTAATATCTATAATAATACTTAAGTTCTATTGTCCAGCATGCTAGCCTTAGTAAGACTAATAGAATAATTAATCTTGTTGTCTTGTACATTCACATATACTTTTTATTTTAATCGTCCATAATTCATTCAAGCCTTCAAATGCTATTATTGATTACAAACCTAAATCAGCTTCTCCTCTTATCAGCTCTCCAATCATTCCATTCCATCCCCCTGAAACATTGGGGTCCCTGTAACCCCAAGATGGCACAATGGTGTAAGATCTTGTCGCATTTACGACATCCAAGAGATGATTGCTCAGTTTATAGGCTGCCTTTGTGATAGTATCAACGTGCTTTTCTCTGAAATCAGAAATAGACAACTACTAAAGTCTATAGATGTCATTTAGAGTTCAATGTAATCATAAATTTGTCAAAAAATGCATGATTTCGGATTATCTTGATTTTATATGATAATTTTAAACATTAACAAATGGTCTTCAAAAATTACAAAAAGAAATAAATATATAATAAATAAATTTTTATACTAACAAGCTTGTATTATAATTTTTACGTATGCAGGTACGTACTTATAATCATCCAAATGATTTAACGAATCATTATGAGTAATCACTAATGAGGATGTTATTGTAGCTCCAAGAAGGTTTCGTCGGCGTCTAGAAAGTATTGGACTAGTTCTCCTATCAGTAATTCCTTCGGTTTCAGACCAAAAACCATATGGTTCGTAGATAATATCAGAAAACAATGATGTTTTATATACTGAAATATTAATACAAATGAATTCTTATTAAACTGTTCTTCACATATACCACAAATTATATTTATATTTGACCTTGATATAAGAACATTTCTGATGAATTATTATTTAGTGCTACAATCAGATTACTGTCTGGTAATATTCCATATTTTTCTAATTTGAGTTCATCCTGACTAAGCAGTAACCAAGAGTATGGAAAGCTGAATAATTTTGCATCGTTTGCCTGTGAAATTAAATATCATAAAATAATAATTTTCTGTTTTGATAAATATGAATATTATTGCTATCATATGTTCAGAAATCTTTGAAACGTAAAGATATGCAAAAATTTCCTTTTTTGATTTTTTTTTAGATTACTATAACATACCCTACGGGAAGTTAATGAGGATAGTGTTTCATGGAAACGCTCAATTGTACGTGGACGTCAACTATAATCAGTAGCTATCCACGAAACACGGAACCTATGCACAAAAGGCATAGATTGTGATTCTAATCGATTAAGCGCAGGGCCTAATACAAATCTTTAGTAAATTTTTATGATTCAACAGCTTATCGCAGGTCTATAAAATTTTAGTATGTTATTTCAGACTATGAAATCTATCATCATACAATGTTTCATCAAAAACGAAAAAAAAGTTCTACATATAACTACGAAGAAACAGCACGGCCGGACTTTTTCAAAAAACTAATCAACCATAATATCTTTCGGTTTTGGAATTTTTAAACTTGAATCAAGGTAGTGGGCCGAAATGTGAACGACAATTTTTACACTTTTCTGCTAATTACAAAAAAACGGCATGGTCGATCGTCGAACAAAATTGACAAACGGTAGTTTTTATCGAGTTACATCGAATGGCTTTTAAATTTCTGAAATCTATCCAGCTGTTTTGTTAAACGTTGACAAAAGGTAAAAAATCGGCTCACATACACACGTACACAGGGTCACCTTTTCCATATTTGGTTTCAAATTCAGAATGATTTGGAACGTCAAAACACACAAAATTTTCAAATTGGATTTTTTCGCAAAACATAATTTTTTCTTTGGCAAGTTAATAAAAACAATAACAAAAACAACAATAAATATAAACATTAATAGTAGTAATAATAATATTAATAAAAATTATGAATAACAGAAGTATAATTGAAACAGAAGTATAATTGAAAAAGACAATAAATTTTTTACTAGCATATTACAGGGGTATGTAACATTTGCTTTTAGGTACAATATTACACAATTTTTGTTGAATAACATTTTCTGATAAAATGTAATATGATAGCAATAATATTAGGAAAAATTGATGTATGTGTTTGTATGGAGATAGTATTTTGTCCACGATTTCGGGCGCCTGGATCAACCGATTCGAATGATTTAAAAAACATTCGATATCTACTGATGGGGAGTCGTGCTGATTAGTTTTTGGCGAAGATAGGTCCGGCCGTTTTAAAGGTACGGAGCAAAAGTGCCAAATATGGTAATTCAGTTTTTGAGGTAATGGATTGCCCGATGTGAATGATTTAAAAAACATTTTACTTGTTTTGACAAAATAAGGAATTGATTAAATTCTTGGGCAAGCAGGTCCAGCGGTTTCAGAGATACATTGGAAAATGTAAAAAATAAATATATTTGGCGGCCTAAAATGGCTATTAGAATGTCTAAAATGCCTCAATTTATCAGATATATTATAGAGATTTTAAACACGCGTACTAATTTTATTACAGTTTTTTTTTGAGATGAATTTCAAAATCTGCAGATTTTTTTTCAAAATTATAAAAAATACTAAGTTTCATATAAATATAAACTATTTATATTTTAAATATAAATTGTAAATTTACATTTCAGTTTGTAGTGTTATATAGTAATTATATTATCTCTTTGAAAATATTTATAATAATTGTTATTATTTATTGATTTTTTTTGCTGGAATATTTAATTCTGGTACGGTAAGTACCAGCAATTTGTCTTAAGGCACGATGCCATGCACCACTAGTTTTTTTATGAAATTATCTAATGCTATTTGATGCTCTATTAGCAGTTATAACTTAAATTATTTGAAACAAAACGTTCTACTAATTATTGAATTTTTTTATGATATGGAAAATCTAAAAGCTTTTTGAAAACTTGAAAATCTTGTAATTTATTTCTGATTTGTAAGTAGAAAAAAATTGAATTTTTTGTATTATTGCGATATTTATTGTTGTTTTAATATTCAACACACTCTACAACACACTGCTTTATTATACTAAATCTAAATATAGTTTGTTTTATTAAGCTAAATATTGTTTATAATAATACAATCAACAAAAACATTTTATATCTTACCTTATTTAAAAAGTCCAGGCTATCAGAACATGAAAAATCCAGTACAAATATTTCATGTTGCCTAAATTCTGCAGTTGTTATCCTCTTCTTCAATATAACATTGTAATGATCAAATGAAGAAAGGGTGCATATCATTGTTAAAGGCATTTGCCGATGAAGATAAATAAGTTCATCTAAAAATAAATAAATATAAATAACCATATTTAATGTTATGAAGATTGTCTTACCTTTTTTCCAGCACAGATATGCATTAATTACTTTTGGAGATGTGGACGACTTAACAAAATCTTTCAGAAATTTAACATACGTAACAATTATTGGATCGATAGTTAAAATCGCAGGTAGGCATAATATTATGAGATTAAGAACTAAAAATAGTCAATTAACATAATTCGAATTATATAAATATTTCAATAAATAAATATATATACCAGAAATAGAAGAATTTGCAAAATTCATTTTCATTCCAAAAATTACTTATGACTCTTTTCTCATAAATATCTTGCTTTTTATATGCAAGAATTCCTTCATTCATTTGAGGAAATAAAATAATTCAATATTGAAAATATATCAAAAATTTCAATAAACATATATGTTCAACTTCACTGTAACTTCAGTGTAATTATATTAGTATAATAATCTCCAATAAAAATTCATAAACAATATTGTGTTAACAGAATTTACTAAATTCAATAAGCTCACTAACTTGCGCTTTTCAAAACTACTTTCATTTCCTCAAATGTACTTTATATGATCTAGAATTCTATCAGAAATAACTTAGAATTTACTTAGATAAATAATAAAATCATTTGTAAACTTGATTAAAAATTTGATTGACAGTAATAGGTTTCCAAATACAATTTAAACTGTAGTAAATCATGTACGAACTACGAACAAATAAAGATAGAATATACATTATTATTAAAATTGCACAAAGATTTTGAATACATTCACTTTTTAATATTACATGCAGTTTTTAATATTATTTTACAACAATAGCGATAATTTCGGTTTGTCCCATTATTGCAAACTTTGACGCATTTTTATAATTAAACTATTTTCTACATACCGATAATATTTTAATAGATTAAGACAATGAACTTCATCATCTCACAGTGTCCTATAAAAATCGTCAAAACTAAAATTATGATTAATTACTAAGAAACAGCACGGCAAATTTTTACCAATCAGCACGATTTGCAAAAAATATCTTCCGAGCGATTTTAAATTCTAAATATCGGTTCCAAATTTTTTGCGAAAGCCTGGACTACAAAGTTGCACTTCTGATAATTATAAAGAAACTGCTCGGCCGATAGTCTCGCAAAACCAATCAACGCGAATTTCATAAAAACACACTATTTCCAATTTTGTTGTCCAACTTGCAGAGACGAAAAAGAGAAAACACTGACTCCTCGGACAGAAATTAGAGACCAATTTGGATATACATAATACAACTATGGGGATCAGTTTCTAAATCAAACATGATACATTTTGAAAGATGCCATTTTTTATTCAATTTTATTCTGCAATCTGTAATTATTATTACATTAACCAGAAAATGCTGACAAGCATATCGTAAAATAAAGATGAATACAAATTAGTACATACCGCCAGTAGCGTATCTACTAGAACTAATTAAAATATAATAATAATATAAAAAACACTAAAAACAAAAGGGAGAAAAAAACAATAAATTATACTATATTAGGTCTACGAGTATTTTTCTGTTAAGCCTATTAGGCTGGCCTTCCAGGTATATTTGACTTGCTAGTAGGTTAGAATGGACGTCTATCCACTTTTATTCTATCCGTTGGCAGCCATTGTAACTTATTCTAGAAGTTTAGGTATGCCAAAATTAAGTACTTAAAGAAATTTTGAATGCTCTAAATTATGTACCGAATTGGATAATACATAAAGTCTCCAACGTGAACACAATAAACGATAAAATACAAACGCACTCACAATCAGACAATTACAAACCCACTTGCCAGACAGCTGCATTAAAATATGTAAATTTTCAAAATCTCTGACAATGGTCAGAAGATTTTGTATTATTAAAAATTTTTCTAAAGTAAAATTACTATATATTAAAAAAATTGTCAAACAATTTTGAATGACTTGAAACATCGACACACAATCACAATAAAAAACACAAAAACTAGCATAGCAGGATTTCTGACAAAAACAGAAACTTTCTCTTCGGGAAATTAATAAAATTAACACAATATGCAGCAATAATATTTTAGTAATAAGCAGCAATATAATTTTAGTAAAAAATACTCACAAAATTCTTATCCCCATATTTAACCCTTTTCACTCGGCGGCATCCGAGAAAAAAGGGAAATAGAAGAATTATAACTTATGGTATAAGGATATGGTATAACACTACTCTACGTAACAAAAGTTTTAAAATTGTTGAATTTATATAAATATACAACTTAATTTAAGAAGAACACTAATTTTTCACAGGAGAATATGTGTGAGATCTGTAGAGTAACTGAATATATGAAGAGCCAAAAACTTGCTACGCACATTTTGCCTTCCGTTATAATTTTATATGAAAAAGTGAATTTCAGAATAATCTTGTAGTTTCAACACCATCTTGTAATTAATTTATAAGAATTAATTTACACCCTCGTATTAAGAAATACTATAATGATATGGTAACTTTTAGAATAAATTAATTCACTATAATTAAATAGGTTGACTCTGTAAAATCCCAAAATATTTTTATCGATAGCCTGATTACATATTCTGATATAATAACATATTTGTATATCAATTTTTTCCCAAGGAAAAATATTAAAGTTTTCTAAGAAGGGTAGTTATTTAATAGATGGTTTTCTATTATCTGGAGTATTAATTCATGTAATTATATTATGAGACGAAAAATGTTTCATATCGAAGCATGTGCTTAACATAATTTGTAGCTACATGCATATAGGAAATCCTAGTTACAAAATATTGTTTTGTATTATATACTATTATACTCAATATAACCAGTAATTTGCAATTATATAGAATCAAAATGTAACAGAATTATAAAGCTTTTCTTGGCAAAACAATACCTAGTATGGAGATTAGTAAAAAAGCGCAATAAATTATTTATGAAACAAAATGTTGATTGGTTATTTAAATTATCAATTTACAAGAATAATTTTTAATTTGTTTTTGCCTGTAAATCTTTTTCTTATTTATTATCAGAAATGAGAGAGACTGGGTACGGTTGTGCCACTTTTTATTTTTGATCAGCCATAATTTTGTTATTTGACCAGTTAGCTGGGAGACATGTAAATAGTGGAGTACGACATCGTACCAAAAACTTCCCATACCAAAAATGAATTTTTTTAACTAGTGGAATATTTGGCATTTGAATGTATATACATGCATCAATAGTAATGTTTGTAGTAGATGGTAATATTTTCTTTGTGAAGAAGTATTCGCAAATACGTTCTTAAAATTCTATAGTAATACGAAATACAAAAATGCCTGGCAAAACCTATGTAATATAAACTAAAAAGAAGAATGATAAAAATAAATCATATAACTACATAAAATAAATCACGTTATTAACAACGTGAATAAGTTTTTAATAAGTTATAATGTGTTTATAAGGTTTAAGTTAGATACATGCCAAAAACTCAATGCTGTTCCCAAATTTACTTTGTTTGTGTTACAATTAATTTTTTCAGAAAATATATATTTTAAAGTAAATGATGATAAAAATGTAATTATTAGTGCTAGTCCATAAGCTCTAAAATATGTTAACTGCAATATCGTTAAATAAAATAACTGCAAAAAATGTAATGGAATTTACAGAATTATTATATACATATAATAAAATTGAACTTAGTATTTCGATAATATTTATTGTAAAGCTGATTTGCACAATCTTATTTCGTTATGTAGAGAAACTTCTATTATGTTACACAGAAAAAATCAAATCAAGAAAGTTTTTAATTACAAAATGAGTCATTTTATTTGACCATCATTTCAACTAGCCTTATAACTTCCTAATTAATATTAATATAACAGAATTTATTTCAATCAAGATAAGGTAGCTGATAATCCATTTCGATCATATCGTCATCTTCTGTCTTTGAAGTTTCTATGAATTTTCTAAAATAGTTCATTATAATAAATATAATGATTATATACACCATACATAAAAATATGTATAACAAATTTTATAAAAAATATCAATCTATAAATGTCGAACACTTTTTCAAATAATAAGTATTTTTCAATTTTTTTTATATCTTGTAAAATGCATATATCAAAATAACTCAGCATAGAAGCAGTATGGAAAGCTAATTTTTTTGAAAAAAATATTTACCGAAATATCATTGAAAATATGCCAAAGTGGCCCATTCTTTTAAATTCACTTTTTAACGTAACCATAAAAGATATCGAGAAAAACTTTCTAATAATATCGGCTTAATGTATATATTATATTTTTAGCAAAAGTATATTCTTTTCAGATAGAGCAGTATAAATTGGTGGTGAATATGGTAAAAGTTTACAATGTAAAGTAATATCAGATTGCCTGGAATGCACTATTTTTTACCATTAAAGGATTTATTTGTATTTTTGAAATTGGCATTTATCAAATATGACATTTTTATCGTTTAGTATTTTTTTATTATATAACATATAAAAATACTGCCCTTACCAAAAACCTCAACCGATATAAGATAGGAGAATATTTATTGATAGTACGCTAGTTTCAAAGGGTATGGGAGTATTGCATAGCCCCACCCTGGTGTTTAAATAATTTATATGCCATTTTAAAGGTCTTTCTGAAAATATCCAATATACCAATTATTAATTTTGTAGCTCATCTTATGACCGAGATATTATTGAAAATATGCCAAAGTGGCCCCTTTTTTCAAATTTACTTTTTGGCGTGACCATAACAGGTATCGAAAAAACACTTTACTCACATTAGACCACCTCATGTAGAACAATCAGTGCCAAATGATCATTTATTATTATATACTTTTCATGCAATCGTCCAATTGCTTATGTCTAATCACCCATGCAATATTTTTTTAAACACATGTTTTCCATGCATTTGTAAAGACAAATAGAAGCATTATTAGATTTAGAAAATAAGAATTAGATAATTGAATCTAAAATTCTAAGTAAATAAAGAAAAAATTTAAAATATTTAATTTGATTTTAATTTATAAGTATGAAAAAATAGTTAAAGCCTGATGATCAATCTAAACAAAGCAATAACCCAGATCTAATGTATGCTTGATATATTCGTCAAACTATATAAATATAAGATTTATTTGAAGCGTATTGTACTTACGGCTGAAATTTCGATAATTGCCTGTAACATATTTTTTCAGCACCCAGCAAAATTAAAGATATTGCAGCTCCTATACATAATAGCATTCCTCCAAAATAGCAATCGAGGAGGCCAACGCTGACGAAGCTGGCAGTGCTGGCGGCGCATTTTGGTTTTTCAGTTTGATGGAGGGCTACTTCTCGAGACTGTATGCCACTTTCACGGATTTTGAACATACTAAATTATTAATAACTATATACTAAATTGAAGTAAATTATCATTAAGCATTATTAATTTTTGATAGAAAAGAAAAAATTATGATGAATGCAAAATCTAAAAGCGAGCAGCAACAATGTTCATTTTCTCTTAAAAATATAGGTCAAAATATGTTTTCAATTAAAAATTAGCCGATTTCGGGCACTACTCTCTATATATTCTCAAAATTTTTATATAAATCTCTTACACTATTCTTCCCTGAATCGTGTTAGAGTTTAACTCAGCTCACGGACCTGCTCTAGGACAGTACTACCCATTATTATTTATTACTCAAATTGATATTAATAGGTGCATATTAAAATTCTTTTAAAACTGCAGAAGCAAAGTTGTTCATCTAATAGAAATATTAATTTCACAATAAAATCTTTACTCACTTCACTTTAAAAATTTCTTTATACGGAGATCTTTTGCGAATAGGCATCCAAGGATCAATAATGCTTATGTAGTCTATTTCAATTAAGCCACATTTTTCATCTTCATAAAACAACTCTGACATTAATTTATATCCTGGACCGCACTCCATTTGGAAAGCAAAAAATCCCTAAAAATACCAGTAAATTACAACTAATGTACCAGATTATAAATATAAAAATAATATCATTAATAAAAATGTATGTACTATTCTGATGTTTGTAAATTAATTATTATTTAAAAGATCTTCACAAACCTTTCGAATTTTTTGAACGCCTTCAAGTAGTGTCATGAATTTGGCCTTTTTGCCTTTTGGTGCAATTTTCAGTTCATAAATTGCTTTACGTATGGGCTCTGTTGCTGTCTATATAAATAAAATGAATATTTTGTTAATCCTTTTTAAAATATAAAGGAATCTATAGTACCATACCATAAAAACTAAAGATAATCATAACAAAATTAAATATAAAAAAACGGAGACCTATTCTAGGTCTAAATTATGTGAAAATACTAAAAATTTTACAAAAGCGCAAAATTTTTGCGTTATTATAATAAATAAGTTTATGAGAAAATACCGTTTATAACAAAAAACCATGAACTCTTACAGTTTTCGTCGGCTCTATCACTTATAAAGTAACTATATTGACTAATAAAGTTAGATCAAATAATTGAGAATACAAATATTATGGTTTAAAAAGTATGATGCAAACATATTTATAAGATTCATTCATTGACTTAGTGATTTTAATTAACTTTTGGTATTTTTTTTGAATCTGGATAATAATAAACATCGTACCGTAAAATAATACCGATTATATACGGTATCAGCAGCACCTAATTCTAATGGTGAATGAAGTAAATCTTTCAACGTTCTAATGCTGTAAGTCCGCGCTTGTAGTAAAGACACTACAAAAAAATCATATTGTTGTTTACATTTATTTATATAATATGTTTTTATTATTATTCTGTTTATGTTGAATTTGGTTACCTATATTAGCGGTATATGATGTATACAAGAACATCACAGCAACAAAGAGAAATAAGGAAACAATTCTTCCGGCTGGATTTCTAGGATTTTCAGAAGGCCCTTGTTGGCAAACAGCACCAAGAGATATTAGTAATGAATCGCTTAAAGACATCAGTATACCAATTCTTCTCTAGAAATATGATAAACATAAGGTTCAGATGTTTAAATATAAAATCTCGATTAATCATACTTGGAAGTGAAATCAAGAAACAAATTGAACTGGAATGTTTTTGTTTTAAGTTTTACTTCTTTTTCAGATTTATGTTATATCAAAAATTATAAAATAGAAATATTATGAAAATAATTGAAATTATTTCATACATTTTCTTTACAAAATTCTGTTTTAACAGCAATCAGACCAGTCCTATGAACGGTGGTGATAACTTCTTCAACAACGACGTTGTATAAATAAAACAACCTAAACGGTTGTCCTATTTCTGCTCTATATGATATATAATTTGTTATCTATAATGTATAATAATTGTATTTCTAAGTCCTCCTGGAAAAAATATGTGGGCTATATATTTAAAAAATAAAATAAAATATTGCTGTCTATATTTCTAGTGAAAACCGATGTAACTGCAGCTCAACATTAGGCTGCCTAAGGTGAACCTAAAACCGCCAATTAGAAAAATTAGTCCATAGTACTAACTACTATCTCACGGGCAACTCTAAAACAATGTAATGCAAAAGTAATTGATAAAAAAAGCTACATTTATACCTCAATTTCGCATTTTCCAGTTAGAGTGAGCGCTGCCACCATAAATAAGATAAGCAAACCCAAAGCTATCCAGACTCCAGTTCCAAAGGGCAGTACGTATAAATTGCTGACGTAGCTCAGGGGAGGCGCGCGAAATACGAAACGGGTTCGGGTAGGAGTTGACATTGTTATATAATCAATTATTGGTATACGATCCGCAGTGAAGAACGCAGAAGTACCTATAATAGAAGATTTAATTTGAAAACAATTTGCAAAATCTTACAGAAGAACACATGTGCACTTTCAAGGGCTTATCAACAAATTTATTATTTGTACATAAGTTAATAGTCATACTCGTATAGTAATATTTGATAAAAAAACACTAACATTTTCATTCAAGATTTAAATTGATTAGTCATAAATTAACAAAAGTAGTAAATGAGAAATCATATCAAAATTTAATAAATTATATCAGTTTTCATTTGATTTTCCTGGTCTGTTATAATAAATATAATATACCCCTAAAAAACTCATAAGCCTTTCCAGCCCCTTCTTAAAAAGGCATTTTTAATATTAATATGTTTTACCTATATCTGCCTCTCCTCTATTCAATTCTCCAAGCATTCCATTCCATCCTCCTGCTGCCTTTGGATCTCTGTAGCCCCATGATGGTACTGTCGTATAACTCTTTGTGGCGTTCACAATATCCATTAAATGATTACACAATTTATATCCAATCTTTGTTATTGTATCAATATGGTTGTCTCTATTTTGTGATAAAGCAAAATGAGAAACAATAATATGTAAAATAATTCTATAGGCATTTTGTGATAAGACAATCCAACGCTTGGCCTATCTATATTTGATGAAATTATTATTACAATAACTCTGACACTGATGACTCGTCATTAGATGCATCAATGCCGAGAAGGAGCTCATTTGGAAACATATTGATATCTATATGTTCAGCCAATGTCATTATTGCTCGACATGCGGGCTGTCCGAGGCAGTCATCAAACCTGAAACTTCTCAGTATTACAGATAATAGGAAGAGTTCGACTATTTCGTGTACTAATTTCGTGTACTAATTACTTATAATACTGAGAAGTTGGAAGACCTAACCATTGAGCTACAGGGAGCCCAAACAATTGTTTGGTGTGTGGTACATATTAGATATTCAGACAAGATGTACAGAAAAATAAGTCATGTCAATCTACTGAGTCAATGAGTTAAGTTATGTCATCTACTTGTTTCTTTTTTCTCTTCCCGTGCGATTTGGCTCGATGAAACTTTGGCCAAGTAATGTAATGCTTTGTTTCGTCAATTTATTCATAAGCCTAGTTTGTCAGTTTCATTTCTGGGTGAAAATTTTCATCACGAGCCAGGCTCGTTAAAGCACGAGAAGGGGTTAAGGCAGTTGTTGGTTTCTAAGGGGGGCGCGTACATCTGTTTCCAGAACACTATTTTCAAAACCAACCCAACATTTTTGAAATGACAATAAGAAATAAATAAAGTATTAGTTTTTATTCATTTTTACATAATATTGCATATCTCAGTCTGATAAAGTTGAAACATTAAGGGAGCGCAACAATTTTTTTATTAGAGCAGGGGGGCGCGATGTAAACTAGTATATATTGGTATTTTGCCTTGAGGCAAGTTACATGAACTTCCCGATATGTGTAAATTATCGACTTAATCAATACAAAATAAATTAATTTATGAGTGATTAAAAATATTCCGAGTGGATTTATTACACATAATTGAGAACGAATGAACACGTTAACTCGGAGTATTTTCTAAAAGCAAATTTTCAAAAATCAATAATTTTTATAATTGAACCAGTTTCCGTAGGACTTTAATGGTTCACTTACTAATTAGTAAGTTCATTGAGATCAAGTACTCTATCGTTATACCAAGTAAATCGTCTAATTTTAATTTTAACAAACGTCAAAAAAAACTACTCATTCTCTCAAACTTTGATGAATTTTTAAAATTAAACTATTTGTCGTAAGGCCGTAATATTTCAGTAAGTTCTATAAGACCATGATATATATCTCCAAAAAAAATCCATATTTTTTTTTAATAGTTAATTACAAGAAAACGGCTCGGTAAATTTTCACCTAAAACTAGTCAGTACCATTCCCAACTGATATCCTTCGAACTGCTTTTGATTTTTTAAAATCGATTCGGTAGTATGAACTTAAATGTGAACGAAAAGTTTAACACTTTTTTCCAAATTACAAAGAAACGGCTCGTCCGATCGCTGCACAAAGCTGAGAAAAGATAATCCACATCCACATACATCGATTGGCTTTTAAATTTTTAAAATCGGTTCAGGCGTTTTTGAGCAAACGTCGATGAAAGTTCTGATTTTGATAAACGCCAAAAAACGATACTAATTTTTGCAAACTTTGACAAATTTTTAAAATTGAACCGCATGTCGTAGAGTGGTAATATTTTAGTATGATCTATAAGACTATGGTATCTATCATAAAAAAAAATCATAAAAATCGTCGAAAACAAATTTCGAGAAAACATAAAATTAGCAAATTGAATTTTTTGATGAAAACAAACTTTTCCTTCGGGAAGTTAAAGAGGTTGGAAACCATTGGGTTAAGGTCACGTGACACATTGTGAAATTTGAATAAACATATTTTAATTTACAATAAACAAGTAGACAAAGATCTATCTGAGCATAAGTCTGAGTAAAAATATCCATATTAAATAACTTACTTATAATTATCCAAATTGTTCACAGAATCATTATTGGTTATCACCAAGGACAAGGTAATTTTTGATTCTTGCAGATTGATCCTTCGCCGCGAAATAATAGAACTCTCCCTATTGTCAATAATTCCATTATTAATTGTCCAATTACCATAAGGCTCAATAATAAGTTGGTTATTTACCGATGCTTTGTAGACTGAAAATATTCAACATTAAAATATATTGTACATAAGTAGTTATTACATTGGTAATACATAACTAACTTTGGTACAGAGAAATATGTGTCGAAGTATATTCTGCCATAACAATATTGCTATCAGGTAATATATCCAAATTAATGAAATTTGCGGTTAAATCTTCATTTTGCTCATGTAAGATTAGCCATTTATATGGAAAACTGAAAAGTTTATTTTGATTTGTCTGTAACAAAATATAAACAATAAGATAAAATTAGTTATTGGTTTCGCAATTATAAATACAAAAATATACCATTTCTAAAATATTTTTTCCATCAGAGCAAGAGTAATCTAAAATGAATAATTCATTTTGCTGCAATTGAGCAGAATTCTCAAAATTATACCAGAACTGATCTCTGGATGGTGTTCGGACCATGGTGAATGGAAACATTTGATGCATTTCAATAAGATCGACTGCAAAGTTTAGTTTTAATAAATATGATGAATCAAAAATGTAATACAATCAGCATGAATAATTTATAATAATTTTATAAATAGAATAGAAGAATGTATATGTTCTTATTAAAAAATGTAAAACAAGAATTGAATTACGCAAAAAAGTGGATTGATCACTTAGGATAAACGTTACAAATGGTAGATATTGGTATTAATAATGGTAGAGTTTGATTTTAATTCAGATTATAATCAAATACATATATTGGTCCACTTACCATGATTCCAGCAAAATAAACCTGTAATAACTACGGGGGATGTTGATGAGCTAACATAATCTTTTATAAAACGCTTGTAAAAATACAATTTTGGTTCCAATGAGAAAACAATATGAATCAAAATACCAGCAAGTAGAAGATAACTCTGAAAGTATTACATCTTTAAAGATATTGTAAAACTGAATAATCTTAAAAAATATATCTTACAATTAGATAACCCATTTTACAGTTTATGTTAATATTATTTAGCTGTTAAAAATACTAAAAACTATTCACACAATAAACGATTACGGAGCATTGTTTGCCATTTTATGTTAAAATCTAAAATTCTAAATGATGCAAACATGTGCATAAAATTGCTAGTTATACGATTCTAATAAGCACGTTACCGACAATGTTTTATTAATAGACTTAAGTATATACATAATTATATGTTGCATTATAAAATGTTTTAATATTGTTATATTTTTTTATAAAATACTTAATAATATATTCAATAATAATGTACCAGAAAAAATTACTAATTCAGTATATTTTTAATATTTTTGTACATCCAATTTAATATTTTTCTACAAGAGACATATATTCTATACTAGCATAACATATTATTTAAACAACATAGCGACATTTTTAACAATATCTAATTATATTTAATCTAAATACTCTATTTTCTCTGTTGTGTCAAATTCATTTATATCTTCTTGATCTTTATTTGAAGTCACTGGATTAACCGGATGCTGTGTCCTGTTGAAGATTTTATATAACAATAAAAAGTCAGGAATTGTTTGATTATCAAGAAAAATTGATTATCTCACAAGACTTTTTATCAAAATAGCCCTCTAACTGTGTTATAGGCAATAGAGAGCTTTATTTTATTTGCAACTTGCAATTTCATAAATAGCTTCTCATGAGTTTCTAATATGAATCTATTAGAAACTTTTTTCATTTATTAGTGAAAATTTTATGGAAAAACTTCAATAGCTCTACGTATATAGAAGCTTCAATTAAACCATAGGCAAATCTGTATATAAGGTTGTCAAATATCTCCCTTCCGCCTTTTTGTATTATAAACCAAGAGCAAAAAAGCGGAAGGGAGATATTTGACAACCTAATATATGTCTTTTAAGAAATGATGTATGAAAAGAGAATGCTACTGACGAGCAAACTCAGTCTTGACTTGCGGAAAAGACTAATAAAGAGCTACGTCTGAAACTTATAACTGTACGGATCGGACACTTGGACTCTAAGAGAAGCCGATAAGAATTACCTCAAAAGTTTTGAAATGTGGTGCTAGAGACGATTGAAGAAGATAAAGTCCTGAGAAGAGTGGGCGAAGGAAGGACCCTACTGAGCACAATTCTGAGAAGAAAAGGAAATTGGATCGGACCTCTTCTGCAAAAAGAGTGCCTACTGCACGACGTCGTCGAGGGTAAAATAGAAGGAACAAAAGGAATGGGAAGAAGAAGAATGCAGACGATTGACGACTTACGCGAGAAGAGAAACTACAGAGAACTGAAAGCCGAAACACAGGATCAAAAAGCATAGAAGCAGAAGTTTGTAAAAGAAAATACATAAAAAAGAGGACAGGAAATAGTGGTAATAGGAATGATAGACGAAGGGTAAGGAAATCATTTATTTGTGGTAGCTCTCACATCATGCACCTGCCTTCAGGCAGACTAGCATTTATTAACTTCCCGTATGGTAGTTATAGTAATGGGCCAAAAATCAAAAATAAAAATTTTTGGATTTTTCGATGTTTTGAAGGTTTCAGAATATTTTGGCATTTTTGCGTCCACGTTTTCGGGCGCACGGATCACCTGATTTGAATGGTTCAAAAAACATTCGATTCCTATTGAGAGAGAGATGTTCTGATTAGTTTTTGGCAAAAGCAGGTTCAGCCGTTACGGAGATACGGAGCAAAGAGTGCAGAAAATACAAATCGAGTTTTTGAGAGAACGGTGTATCCGATTTGAATGATCTAAAAAACATTCATTTTGTAATGATTGGGAGAAGAGGTGATTAGTTTTTAGCGAATGCAAGTCCAGCCATTTCACAATAATAGATTCAAGCTAAATGTGCAAAAAATGGCAGTTTTTAAAAGAACTAAGCGTCCGATTTGAATTATTCAAAAACTTTCTGCTTGTTTCAACAAAGAAATTGCATTTTTTTTTATATCGAAAATAATTCAACCTTGCAATTCAGTTTATATAATTATTATAAATATTAGACAATGTTATAGTATTTATTTATAATAATCTATTTGAAAACATTTAATATTGCTCGAACATTTCGTTACGATATGGGAAGTTCCAGCAATTTGCCTTAAGTCACGATGCCATACACCACTGTCTATTATTATTATGCTTTTTTGTAAAAGTAACCATATTGGAAATTAATTATATGAAGGTTTATATACATAAGTAGTACATAAGTATGTCGGAAAAAGAATTATAATCATTGAAACACGACACTAAATTAAAATATACATGTGACGAGAGCAAAATACAAAATAATTTTAAGAGTTTTAAGAGTGGATAATTGATATCCTTTTTCGATAGTATCAAATTCTTTATGGACGTCCATTAACCATGTGAGACTTAGAAGGGAAGTTAGGGTTTTACAAAAAATCTCAAAATATCAAATGGGGGATAGGGATCTAGTGAAATATAACATGTATTTATTTTATACTTAGAATTTAAAAAAAAAATGTTAAAAAAAATAACGTTTTTTCTAGGTACACGAAATGCACGTAATGTTGGGCAGGGAGTTTAATTTTAAATATATTACCAAGTATAGCAAAGAAGGGAGGAATGGCCCAAAAACCTTGAAAAACCGATTGATTATGAATATACTGGCTAACATAGATCATTTATATCATCACTGTCATATTGGTATTACAGAACAAATTATTAAGAACTTATTATACAAAATATTTAATTCATATTATAACATATTCAAAGTTAGATTCAAAATGAATGCAAAAAATCGTTATTTAATAGCTGCATCATCACACAAAAAGCTATTTTTGAAAAAGTAAAGAATACTGTTTTTTATTACTTATCCCAAGGATAGGTTTAAAAACACTGAAAAATTAAATACCGACAGTTGGGTGGAATTGTAATATTGGGTTATGATTTTGGAAGTGATAATAGTTGCTACTCACACGATGTTTTTCGAGCAGATCTTAGAAATCATCATTTCAATTACAAATAAACATATTGAAACAGCAACACCACCGCACATCAATACTCCTCCAAAATAACAATCGATTAATCCAACGCTCACAAAATTGGCACCACTAGTCGAACAAACAGGCTTTTTAGAATAATGTCTTGATGTTTCACGAGATTGTATGCCAATTTCTCTAAGTTTTAACATCCTAAAATAGATGGCATTAATTAGAAAAAAAGTGGAAACAATAATTATTATTTTTGCATCTCATATAATAATATAGTCCAATTTTCTTGTTTACGTAGATTACTGAATCTGCAAAAATGTTATTTCAAAACTCATATTTACCTATTTTTAATCATTTCTTTATAAGGCGATCTTTTTTGAATAGGAACATAAGGATCAAGAAAGGCCAAATAATCTATTTCAATCAAGCCGCATTTTTCATCTTCGTAAAATGTTTCAGACACCACTTTATAACCTTTTGAACGTTCAACATGAAAGGCAAATAACCCCTTAAAATAATAAAATATTAGTTGATTCAGGCAATAAATTTATTATTATAGTAGTCACCTCTCGCATTTTAGCGATGCCTTCTTCCACATTCATCCAATTTGATTTTTTGTTTTTAGGCGCAATTTTCTTCTCATAAAGCTTCCTGCGCACAGGATCTTTATTATTCTTAAAATGAGATAAAATTGTTGTGATAAATAAATTATTGTATTTGTTCATAAAGATATATAAAATTATTACCATGAAAAAGTAACGAAAGTATTGTGTATCATCGGATCCCATTTTCATCGGCGAATGAAGCAGATCTTTTATTGTCTTAATGCTTGATGTACGTGATTGCAACAATGATACTAAAAATTATAAAACATTAACTTTTCTTGTATATTTGCACCCAATCGTAAATTAGGTAATGAAGCAACACAGATTTTTATTTCTCAACAAAATTTTAAATATTTATTTAAAATATTTTATATACTCTTTTTCTACGGAAAGATTTGAAATCTGTTTCAAAAAGATTTCCATACAAATTATCTTGTGAAAAATGTACGAACTAGTGAGGTGCATGGCATGGTGCCTTAAGGCAAATTACTGAAACTTCCCGTACCTTAATTAAAAATCTTGGTACGGAACTCAAAAAGATGCAGACAAAATGTGTACACATTATTAAAATATCTGATAATTTGATGTAAATATGTCCAATAAACATTTTTGATCGCAAAATGATATTTTTTAACGTATTTTTATAGGGAGTCCATAACCTCTGGATCTAATGCCTTCTCAAAAATTTGATCTATTGTTCATCTTGTCAATACAAGTAAAAGGTTTTTTGAGTTATTGAAATCGGAAGCTCTGTTCTCTTGAAAACTAAGTTACCGTTTTTGGCTATTTTGCCCCGTATCTTCGGAACGGCTACACCTGCCTTCGCCAAAAACTAATCAGCACGTACGTCTCCTTATCAATACGAATCGAATGTTTTTTGAATTATTCTAATCGGTTGATCGGTGTTCCCAAAATCGTCGACGAAAATTTGTATCCGCACACACACACACATATACATCCATTTATTCTAAAGTATGCCAAAATTTTCAAAAACTATTGAAACGTAAAGATATATGAAAATTTTCATTTTCGATTTTTTTGCGATTACTATAACTTACCCTACGGGAAGTTAATAATCACACTGTGTGACAAAAAAGACATTTTTGTTTTTTTTAACTTTTTTTAATATACCTAGAAGTGTACGCTGATTTCGGTTAATATACCTCAAATATACCTTTCGTTTTTTTAGTTTTAGAGTAAAAAATCTTGAAGCAAACCACGGAGTCATTCGTTTTGATCAAATTTTCTGGGAAACAAGAATATTCAATAACTTTGTTGAACTTGTCAAAAGCATGCTATCAAATTTGAAAGATCTAGGATGCAACATGAGCATCAAACTTTATTACCTGCGCTTTCATAATATATAAGCACTTGTTTTGGAAAATCTTGTAGATATCAATAAAGGTGGGACATCCACATAAGCTCGCATGTATTACACTTGAAAATCATATAAAAAACTTTCGAAAGAATAAAATAAAATATGTGTTATTTTTTATTGTAATTTGTAGAAAAATTAGAATATTGGTATATGTCAAAAACTAGAGCTGCTAGCAAAATTCTGTTGCTTTTTTCGGAATCAGCATCCTCGATTTACTTAAAATCAATCATAGCAACCCAGAAAAAATTTACTGTCACGCAGTGTAATAAATAATAAACTATAATTAATAAATAAATTTCAATAACTTAGTAATTTAAAGTTATTTCAATAAAAGGATAAAATTTACTCTATGTACTCACCTATATTGGCTGTATAAGATGTATATAAAAACATAACAGTGACAAACAAAAAGAGAGAAACAATTCTTCCGGCTGGATTTTTTGGTTCAGTCGATGGTCCTTGTTGACATACTGCTCCAACCGAAACTAACAAGGAATTGCTTGCAGAAATTAAAATATTTGGATTTCCCTGGAATTTAAAAGATACACACATACATACAAACAAAAATTTATAAGATAAAACCTAATGGATAAAATATAACCCAATGAAAAATAAAAAATGGTTTCTCTTATTTGGATGCTTAACTTAATATGCACAAGCATTATATAATGTTGAGCTCTCATATCATATCGGCACTATGTATTTATATACTATTGTAAGTATATAAAAAAACTAAATTTATAAACTAATTTTCCTAATCACATTATTCTTTTTTTATTTTATAAATTTATCAACGAAAATCAACAGTAATACAGAAACAGAAAGAAGATTACCGATTATATACAAGAATAAGGAAAAACCAAAATCAGTTTAATCAGCATCTATAGCTCGAGATGTTTTATTAAAAGTATATGTGTATTTTACCTTTAGATGTTATTGAGTTAGTATATTTATCAATTACCTCGTGTTCATAATTAGACGAAACGCTGAGAGCGATTGTCATCGATAAAATTAGGACACCGCATGCAATCCAGACTCCCCTATTGAAGGGCAGCAAATATAAGTTGCTTACGTAACTCAATGGTGGAGCGCGAAATACGAATCGGGCTTGGGTCGGTGTCAAAACGGTTATAAACTCGATTAAGGGAATTCTCTCTTCCACAAAAAATATTGGAGTTCCTGAAAGAAAAATTTAGTGTTTACGAAAATCGCACATCTGTCACCATAAATTAGTAACATTTGAAAATACAATTGTCTTTGGACCGTTTTGACCGCATAGCATAAAGCACCCAAAGAAAATTTATAATCCATCTATAACTAGTTATTCTTTGATTTCCGAAAAAAAAATATTTTGCGCAAAAATTATAGACCCAAAAGCTAGTGAGCCAGTTCAAAAAGAAGATCATTATGTTTCATCTAAAAGTTTCACGTAACATTAATAATTTAAATAAATATTAATATTTAGTAATAAATAATTACTGAAATTCTTTAACCGCTCCTAAATAATTCAATACCAATTCTAAATTTTAGTGATTTATTTACCTTGCATTATGCAAATAACTTGAATTTTTCGATTTCCGTATAAATGATACAACAAAAAGTAGTAACCTCTGACCGATATTTTAAACAATTTGAAAAAATATAATAATTAAAATATTTGAAAGTTTTTAAATTCCCAGTGATCTATTTTTAACTTTCAAAAGAAAAAGTTCAATAATTACACAATAATAACAATTAATAACTTAACGCGAAAACAAATTTAGCAAATCGGATTAAGAACATAAACTTAACATTAGAGATTTGAAAGATTATCGAACTTGAAAACAAAATATTACTTAAACATTAATAATACCTTGGTAATTGATAAATTGGACCACTGCATAAATTAAAAACAAATAAATAAATAAGTTTCAAATCAAACCAAATTATAATAAATGATAAATTAAAATTCTTACCAAAATCTGCATCTCCGCTTATTAATTCTCCAATTAATCCATCGTATTTTCCTGTTTTAGGATCCTTGTACCCCCAAGATTTGACAACGTGGTAGTTTCTAGTGCCATTCAAAGAAGTTATCACATCTCCAATCATCAAATAACTTAGCAAATGAGTGGCATCAAGATCACTTTCTCTAATTTTTAATTATTAGAAAAATATAAAGATACATACATAGTTAAAATTCATATATAATTAAAATATAAAAACAATAAATATATCTATCTTATAGAATTCTGTATGAGGTTTTATATCTTCTATATATATAAAAATAAGTCGGGTTTTCCTTCCTGACGAAATAACGCCAGAACGCATGAACCGATTTCGACAATTTTGCATTCGTTGGAAAGGTCTCGGGCTCCGCAAGGTTTATAGCTAAGAAAATTAATTGTGCACGGCATCGTGCCCTAATGCAAATTGATGAAACTTCACGCACCGTAATTAAAAATTCGAGTAATGACATTAGTGAGAATTATCAGAATTATGCTTGGTTAAGTCAACGAGCAATTCTTGCCGCAAAGAATAATGATGTACACGCAATGAATTTCACCATTCAATCAAAAATTGCAGGCGATTTGATGACATACCAATGATTCCGACTGGTCTTCCGTTTGACTTCAAACGATTGCAATTTCCAGTTTGCCTTGCGTTCGCAATAACAAGTCGCAAGGTCAATCGCTTAGTGTTTGCGGGATAAATTTCAAATAGATTATTTAGAAAATCATTGTTTTTCACATGGGCAGTTTTACGTTGCCTTTTCACGAGTTGGAAAATCATCTGCTTTGTTTGTGTTAACGTAAGACCAAAAAACAAAAAATGTGGTTTACCAAAGAGCACTTCAATGAAACGGATAATTGGCGGATTCACTTTCATTTACTTAGAGAAGTTCAACTAAAAAACACCTAATTTTTGTAATCGAAATAAATTCATTACTGTTATGCAATAAAATCAAATTTTTCCTTTTCAAATATAAAACAAACAAAAAATTTCTTCATCTTTCTCACGAAACCATCTGGTGGCGAAACGGAGTTCGTCGAGTTTGCTAGTTTATTTATAAATGTAAATTCTGTACTCTCTTCCATGTGTTTAATAGTTCCTAATAAATAGCGAAGTGCAAACATATAAATACTAAAATTTAGATAATAATTGGAGTTATTCAGTTGAGTTTAAAGATTTTACCGATTTTAAAACAATGACTGCGACTTAATATAGAAAAATGACTCAAGATGCGATCCCAGCTGTGATAAATATATACTGGTACATCTGTGATAAATATACTGGTATATTTTTTCCAGAATTTTATTTGGAGCGCACTTTAGGCCAATTTTCTATATTTTTCATTAAACGCAGTCATCGTTTTAAAATCTGTGAAATCTTTAAATTCAACTGGAAAACTACAATTCAAAGAGGTATGTCGCATAAGTTGTATCAGATAGAGTACGTGGTGCAAGTAATAAAACCTCGACCTTGCAACACAAGGTTCTGAATTCAAATCACCCATTGTGTGCAACCTGATATCGAGCATTCTATGTAAAATGTGTTTCCATTGAAAATATCATCCCAAATAGAAAAAGACCATCATTGACCTGTCTTCTAATAAGAACTATATTAAAACTAAAATAAGTCAACCTTTGCGTTTATATTGGAAAAAATAATCACAACACATAACCATCAAAACAACTTCAAGAATCTGATTCGGATTCGGAGTTTAAGAACAAAAAAATATCAAATTGAAATTTGAAAAATTAATTATTATATTGAAATTTGAATTAGTTTTGCTTACTCTAAAATTTTGGTCTTTTTGTTAGGCAAAGCTATACATTGAGTTAGCTTTTCTCCGGCTAAGTCATGCCTTCTCCTAGAATTGAGAGGTGATGGCCGAACGTCAATGATTCCATTAGTTCTGGTCCAATTTCCGAATGTTTCCACAAGTAACTCTCTCGTTGGTGAAATTTTATATACTGAAAAATATCCAACACAACACACTCCATAATAAACTCTACGCATAATAAATACAAAACTAAAGGATTGAATCAACACAATCGGTTCAGACGTTCTCTCAAATAAAGTTATATGCACAAATTTGTATTATTATATTTCCGCGATATCAATTACCTATATACAACTAAGGAAAGTTTAAGAAATCGTTTTATCTCTTTAGCTATTTTAGTAACTGATCTTAAAGTAAAGCTAAAAATCTTAATATTTTTTTCAGCTATTCTTAATATAGCAGTAAAAAATATAATCTTAAAAATAAAAGTTTTTCAAACGTGATATATATGTATGAAACATATATATATATATATATATATATATATATATATATATATATATGAAAGTAATTCATTTACAGCTGTTCATTCGAATAACAGTCTGTTTCATGATTTGCACAAATTTTTTACAAAGTTAATATTATTTTTCTATATAAGAATATTTTATTTCTACTTTACCTTGATATAAATGCAAATGACTGCTTCTGTTCTCTACTATAATAACATTGCTATCGGGCAGTATATTCAATTTTGTAAGGTATTCCAAAAAACTATAATCTGAATCTCTTGTGAACAAAATCCAAGTAAATGGAAAATTGAATAACTTGTATTCATCTGCCTGTGAAAGTTGTTATAAATAATATCAAACATTTAAAAAAAAGTTGTTTGAAGTAAATATTATATAACTGAAACAACAAATTGAAATCAACTATCTAAATATTCCAGAATCTAGATCACGAACTTAAGCTTATAATTTGAATTGTTAAATCCTTTTAGTGTTTTGATAAAATAATGCGACAATATTAAAAATTCATGTATTTCCTTGCAAACAATTTTCTATAATCAATTTAGTTTCATTTCTGTAATCAGATTTATAGAAGTCCAGAAGGTAAAATGTGAAGATTAATCTAGAATCTAGAATATTAAGACCAACAACTTAAGATATCAGCGATTCAAAAAATTCACTTTAAATATGTTTTCAAAAATTATACATAAGGACAAAAATTTCGCCAAAATTATAAACATTGCCATCAAACATTTTCCCGAATTGCTAAAACTAAAAATTAAATTTTATAAAAAAGATTCAAAATTTGTTTTTTGAAAATTTTGAAATTTTTGAAAAAAAATGACTTTTTTGAAAAAAAATTTTTTTTTTTTAATTTGAAATATTTTGGAAATTTTGAACTTTTTTGAGCTGCTTAGAGATACAATATCGAGCGCGTTAGCGCCGCGTCGCAGCCTAAGGGAAAAACAATGTTACAGAACTTATAGAAATAAATAAACAAAATTGATACACATTATTGAAATCAACTGATAATTTGATGTGCATATGTCTAATGATCATTTTTCGACCGCCGAATGGCATTTTTTTTTTTACTTTTTTTACTCGAACTCGAAAACCGCTAGACCTGCCTTCCCAAAAATTTAAAAAGTTCTTCATTTAAGTAAAATGATTTTTGAATTATAAAAATCGGAAGTTCCGTTCTCTTAAAAACCTAATTACCATTTTAGGCAATTTCTGTCTCGTCCAAAAACTAATCAGCACGTCTCTTTATCAATAGGAATGGAATGTTTTTTTAATCATTCAAATCGGCTGAACCGTGTTCCCAAAATCGTCGTCAAAAATTTGTACCCAAACATACATACACACACAAATACATCCATTTTTTCCAAGGTATGCCAAAATGTTCAGAAACCTCTGAGACTTGAAGATATATAAAAATGTTCATTTACGAATTTTTTTTCGATTAGTATAACTTACACTATGAGAAGTTAAAAATGTTGTAATTGCAATTACAACAAAATTTTGTTAATACATACATATGTAATGCAAGGATGACTAAAACATAATACTAATGTTAGGCAAAATAGCAAGGGCATTAAAAAATTGAATACTTACTATTAAAATAAATCAGCTATCAAAACGTTTAGATCGCGTTTGTGGAATTAACTCACAAAATATATATTTTATAAATATAATTTTAAAACTAGTTATTTCAGATTGTAGAACAGGTTCAATATATAGATAGTTATAAAATTCCAGGCTGTGTATATGTATACCAGTGCTAGAATATCCTCGGCATCAGAACAGGAAATGTCCAGAATAAATATTTCATGTTGTTGCAAATTTGAGGTTTTTTCATAATCCTGCCAACTTTTATTGTAAGATAATGTCCGAATCCCCGTGAAAGGAAGCGAATGATAAAAATGGATCGACTTCTCTATAATTTAAAAAAAATAGTAATAATAATAAAATGTTTTGACTGACTTCCTAGCCTTCATTCAATATAAAATGAACTTAATTAATTAAAACTAACAAATCAAAATCTAAGTAAAAAAATAACGATTTGATATCCTAATCAAATAAATAAATTAATAGAAGATTTATAGATCTTTGGAGAAATAAAACGACAGTAATACTCCATGGTATGAAGATGTCAACTTTGGTAAAATATTTTGTTTAAACAAAAAAAAACAATAATTAGAGTATTTTAAATGTATATCAAATATGACATAATTGTAAGTTTTGAATAGTTCTGCTGTTTTCGCAATGTTAACAAAATGTATTACCATGGTGCACATCCTCATACCATAAAGTATTACTGATATCTCGACGCAAACTTTTATAAATTTATCAACCATTTATTTATTTATTCATTTAATCAATTTACGACAGATAATTTATATATAATTAGTTTTAATCAAATATAGATATTTCAAAAAGAATTGTACCACATCACCACAGAAAAAAGTCTAGGAAGTTAGCCAAATCGTATGGATATCATAAAAATTCAAATTTTATCTATTTTATATACACACCAAGTGCAAGAATTATATATATATATATATATATATATATATATATATATATATATATATATATGTATGTATTACCATGTTCTTTGCATAATAGATTCGTTATAGATGCTGGTTTGCCAGAAAAATCCACAAAATCTTGTAAAAAATCTAACATTGTACCATTTCCATCAGCTGTGGCAGATAAAGACTTAATACAAAATAAAATTGCGAAAGCCTGTAAATTAATGTTGTAAATTTTTCTTGAATTTAAAAATAATAATTTGTACTCACGATTCCTATAAGACTTTTGTACATTTTGAATTCACTTCCAACTAGCATTCCTTTTATCTGATAGTTGTAAAGAAAATGAGCGTGATATGGCTTGAAATGAATAATACTATGTCTAATAAATAATACTATGTCTTCTCAATAATTAAAACTTACTTCAAACAAAAAACCTCAATTAAAACTACTAGAAATTATGCGTTATAGTTGCTCGTGATTTAATTATATGTTATCAAAAAATCTGTTGGCCTATACTTATAATAAACATAAATTCAGGTTAAACTTCTTGTGAAAATTATATCAGCAGTTCTTTATATATTATTATCCATTTTCGTTGTCATATTATGAATTAGGAATCATTTAACTTCAACTTCATCACAATATTTTGGTATTTATAAATACTACAGATCAGGTTGGCAACTAAGTAAATGCGGATTTTTGTTACAAAATCAGACATTTTTTTCATGGAAGTAAATAACTTTGTCCACTTTTTGTCAACTTTCAAGCAGCATCATTGTCTCACTTTCATAAAATTTCTGGTTTTTATTAGTAAATTAAATTAGTAAATCAAACTAATCAAATCAAACATGTCGTGAGGCCGTAATATTTTAGTAAGTTCTATAAGACAATGATATATATCGCCAAAAAAGTTCCACGAAAATCGACTTAAATTTGTTTTTACAACAGTTAATTACAAGAAAACGGCTCGGTAGATTTTCACTTAAAACTAATCAGTATCATTTTCGACTAATATGTTTCGATATTAGTTTTTGATTTTTTATGTGGACGAAAAGTTTAACACTTTTTTCCAAATTACAACTTCCATATTACTTGGCTGATCGTCGCGCAAAATTGATTAACGCTAGTCCATCGAATGGTTTTTAAATTTTTGAAATCGGTCTAGCCGTTTTTGAGAAAACGTCGATTTACGGCAAAAAATCTGTTCACATACACACACACATACTTTTTCGAAATTTAATCTCATTCGATTCAGAATGGCTTGAAACTTCGAGAAAACATAAAATTAGCAAATCGGATTTTTTTATGAAAACAAACTTCTCCTTCGAGAAGTTAATTATGATATCATGAAAATGTGAGTTTAATAATAAATCGAATAAATGTTAGCTCACCATAATACATATACAGGTATTATAAAACAAATACTTCTTGTGTTCAACAAAATATATTTAGTTAAAAACATGATAAATAATTTAATATTCTTCAGAATTTAGAATTGATTACCTTTATGTACCTTATATCTAATACATTATAATGTATTATAATTAATTTATTACTTAATTAAATTAAGTAATTTTAATCCTTTAAAAAAATGGAAATATGCTCAGAATTTCTTTTATATGATTAAAAATATATAAGACCAAATTGATGATTTGATTATTTCGTTTAATTAAAATCATTAAATTTGTAAATCATGTCAGCTTAGCAATATTTTTTATCCATTGTCATTATGAAACAATTATTTCTTCAATATGAAGTATATAATTAAAAATATGATATAAAATTATATATCTCTTAGAATTTAAACAACCACTCACTTATTTCGAAGAAATCAAAGTTCTTTTTCACTTCTTCTGTTTTTAGTATTTATATTCAATTTAGTCCAGATCTTTTCGGAATTACAATGCACTAGCATATGTTGGTTTAACTCCTTCTTCGTCTCGCATTTCAATTACATATTTCACACATGAGTCTTGCAGGATTTTTATTATGTATTTTAGCATGATGTTTATTTAAGTCAGATGTATTATTATAAGATTTTCCACAAATTTCACACTGAAATGGTCTTGTGCCCAGATGAATCACTAAATGTTTATTTAAATCAGATGGGGTCACGAATTTTTTCCACAAACTTCACACTGAAAAGGCTTGAAACCAGTATGTAGCGAAATGTGCCTTACTAAATGTGGTTTTTGTTTAAAACTCTTTTTACAAATGTCACAAGAAAAAGGTTTAACATTTGTATGTATTAATAAATGTCTTTGAAGGTGCGATTTCTGAGTAAATAATTTATAGCACACTTGACACTGATATGATTTATTTTTCTTGTGCTTTTTTACATGCTTTTCAAGCTCTTGTACAGATGAGAAAGTATCTATGCAAAACTGACAATTATATTCGACTTCAGCATTATGAGGTTCTGATTTTATTATTACTTCCTGATTGAATAAGGAACTAATAGGTACGTCTATGTTTTCAGCGTAATCATGATCAACATGATGATTTTTATTCTTGTCTTCCAAATCTATTTCATTTTTTATCGAGATATAATTAGAGTAACACACATGTAATTTTCTATCTGATTTCAGACATTTCTCTCTAAATGAAGCAGCTACTCTTAATTCTTCTAAACACATGGAACAAATTTGCTTTGGGAAGCCATCATTTTCTGAAATCTACACAAATTAAAAATTATTTTAGTGACCGACAAATTGTTATTCGATGATTAATTTAAATCATGTGACACCAAAACAAATATCTAATCTAATAAATGACTATATTAGAAAATTGTACAAATGAAAGAGTGAATCATAAAATAAATATCATTAGGATTGTACGCATTAATGATGGAAATTTAAGTAGCAATGTGATGACTCAAAAATTTCCTGATTCAAATCAGAAACAAATCTGATTCCAATCAAGTCTATTTTACAGATTGACAAAAGCTAAAATTGCATTGCGTTTAGAATATACTAGCTGACCCGGCAAACGTTGTTTTGCTAAGTAAGTTATATTCTAAACAATTTCTAGAGAATCAAAAATATTAATACTATAAGTGTATAAGGATGTATTGTTTGAATGCTATATACAATGAGGTATTATCAAAACAATAAACCCCATTAGTTTGTCTATGTTTTTGTCAATACAATCAAACTGGAAGCTTTATACACTTTCTATAGAAATCATGGTATAATCCAATCCAAGTCTTTTTTGGTATTTCAACTTATTGATTACGTTTTAAGTTTTTCAGATTCTTCTGGATTCTGGATTTTGTGTATAATTGTAAATAATACTACTGAGCTTATACAATTTTTCAAATTTCTGCGAGGAGAGATAGAAAATGAATTAGATATAACTGCTCTGACCTGCTTTTTAAAAAGTTTCAAGTAACATACCTTGAATTAAAGTAAATTTAATAAAAAGTATGTACGTAGAGCAGGGCAAGGCACAAAGGTCCAATTTGAGTTTGAGCAAATATAAATTTTATTATGAAAATCAAATCAATTTTATCACAACAAATGACACATTTCAAACAAACAATTATCTTACTACGTTCAGTAAAACTACCAGCTTCTTCATCATTGTAAAAATGTGCTTTTTTCTGTCTTTCAAATATTTGTTATCTAGACCTTTTTACCCTATAGGCGGGGGGTAACTTGGAACGGCCAGATGGCAAACAGGTTTAATGTATTATTTTAATTTTAAAGGTATTTACAAAATAATTACATTTTTAACTAATGTTAAAAAAGTACCAACAGAAGAAATTACTTTTACTATGGATTTTCAAAGATGACCGTTTATCTCCCAATATCAAAGTCATAAGAATCAAGGTTATAGATGGTTATACAAAAACAGGATGAAAAGTATCCTATGTGTTTCTCCTGGCTCTAAACTACCTCCCTGCCAATTTTCATCTAAATCGGTTCAGCCGTTCGTGAGTTATAAGTGTTGCTACTTAAGCGATCCTCTTTTATATATATATAAATGACCAATATACTTGTTTACAGTGAAGGATGACAATAAAACAAGTTTATTACAATTTTTTTTTCAAATAATTTAATTTTGAAGATGGTTAAAATATATTTTGAAATTGATAATAAATAACCAAACACTTCTGCATACCAATATTGTGGCTAAAAAAATCAGTCCACTACCATAAAGATTACAATTATTTCTTTGTAATGAATTTGCCATTGCTTGCATAATCAAATTACATATGATTACCCGAGAGCCTTACAGGCCACTATTCATCAAATACAAAATTTTGACTGTAACAAATATTTATATTTGGCAAAAATCTATTGCAGTGTATGTGCTGATAAAACTATTGATTTATTAAGAAATGATGACAATGACCACAATATGTTGAATAAAAATTTATTTAATTTAATAAATCATCGCTAAGAACTTCATTGGGAGCCAAGATCTATAATAAGCTACCTGATGGATGGAGATGCAAAACCAGATTCACTTTTAAAAATATTGTTAAAAATTATTTACTAAATAATCCTTATTATTCTATAAATACATTTTAGAATATTTATGTATTGTAAATCACTTAAATTGTAACTATTGAATTTTAATAATGTTCTATTCTATTCTATTCTATGTGAAAAACAAGATAAATCATGTTCTGAATTCAAGAATTTAACATATGGTCTCTAAAACACATGTTTATTACAAAATTAAGTATGTATAAACATTTCACAAACAAATTTGATTCAGGCAGAAGCAAAGAACACAATAATGCTGTTGTATCCCTTCAGAAATTGAAGGCTCGCATGCAAGCAAACAATTCAAATAATTCGATTTCATTCAATTCATGAGAGTATCTCAAATGATTTGATTAAATTCGAATCGTGCGAGAAACTCGAATATATTCAATTGAATTCGGATCAGTTTGTAACTCGAATGAGGCGACTTAATTCGATTTTACATTATTATATTTATGTTAATTAAAATTTTGTTTTAGATTTATTGAAATCTATGTTCATACTCCATACATATTATGTCACAGTAACTATTATTCGGCTTAACACGAGTTGATTCGAATCATGTAAAATGTGATTCAAGCCAATTTATTAAGGGCTTGATTCGAATGATTTGAATTGCTCGATCCGATCTGACCATCACATTATTAAGTATAATGTATACACTAATAATTTATACCTACTTAGGCATGTATGTGCTTAAAATTTCCACATTCAAATTAAATTACAGAAAAAAAACAAAACAAATCAGCATGCAATTGTAAGTTCTACAAAATTGTCCATGCAGCTTGTTTAACCCATAACCTGTCAATGCTACCTTTAAAGAAGTCAACATAACAATCGCATCCTGAATTAAACTAGTATCTTCTAATGCATAATAAATATATCTATTTCGCCATTTTCTATCATGCACACTCTACAAACTCTATGAATTCGTCAGGCGTCATTTCTTGAGGTTAATGTTATAATTACGACCATAAATACAGTTGCATATAAAATGGCAATATATTTAAAGCAACTCGACAATGTCACGTATTTTTATTATTTGCATAATATATAAGAACAATCTAAATTTGTTGTTTTAGCAATTTTAAACATAATGTTTACTTCAATCATGAATTGCGAAGAGCGAGAAACGTCAAGCATGAGTGAGTAAATTGACATTTGAAATTACTTCAGGGATTTTCAACCTTTTGTCAGAATCATTAAAAACTTCTTGTCAAATCTTGTCTCAACGGCTTGCTGAATTTCAATAATTTTGTATCAAATAAATAAATAGCAACTTCACTTATATTAATTATATACTTGACTACTGGTGCATGGCATCGTGCCTTAAGGCAAATTGCTGGAACTTCTCGTACCAAAAAATTTTCTTTTTAAAAAAGATTAATTTTTTTTAAACTTTGAAAAATTAGGTTTTTAGAAAAATTTTAAAATTTTGAGAAAATTACTTTTCTTTGTTTCGAAATATTTTGCAAATTTTGAAATTTTTTTCAAAGCATCGTACTTTTTTAATGCATAGAGACGAAATATCGAAGCGCGTAAGCGCCGCGTCGCCCGCGTTATGGCATCCGAAGAAATGTAAACAAAATTAAAACGTATTAGTAAAATCTATGTCTAACGATAATTTTTTTTTTGTTTTGTTACTAGATTGTACTAATTACGAATGACTGGTAACTGAATCAAATTATATATTTTCAAGTCCAGATGAGTTCAATATGAATGATTCATAATATGAATATTCATATTGAAGTAAAAAAAATTTAAAGAAATAACGTCACTTCAATATCATGTATTAATAAATCTAAGGTCTTTATAAATATATAAGTTTAACACAATTTATTATACAACAAAATTGCACAAAACACTTCATAGATGTACAGCTTATCCCAATAGACATCACACTAAACTTGATTTTTATTTAAGTAATAATAATTATTTTTTAATAATAAATATAGTTATTTCTCCATCACTTTATAAATACTCGGCATTTGACTTTTTCTGATGACTATTAAAAGTCAAAAATTATGCATAACATTAAACAAATCTGATGAGTTACATTACACACTAGTATAAATATTTTTATTAAAATTGATTAGTGTACCTCAAGATTATTTATTCTACAGTCTTTTCAATAATAATATCAATATTTTTATGATTATATAAAACACTACTTATTTATATTTTTTTAATTAAACTTATTGGCAATTAATTAAAATTTAAACAGCCTGTTTATAATGTCTATTAAAATAATAATATTGTTATTGAATAATATAATGTGAGCTGGTTCTAAGAAGAAAATGTCATTCAATATTATTAAACTGAAGACACACAAAAGCATTCTCTCGTATGTTGTATTAATTTGTTAATATTATAAATTGATATTGATTATAAATGAATATTATTATAAATACTAACAGTTGTGACACAGTTGTACAAGTATCCATATAACTAAAGAAATCCCAGAATTTTATATTGTTTGAATTTTAATCACATTGCACACAACTAAATTATTATTAAGGGAAAACTAACTGTCCCATTATAATATCAATTATATTTGCAATATACATTCCTATTTATTTTTTATTATAAAAAACAAAAATATATTTATTTAAGTGTTTATTTTTATTAATTTACATATGTCTATAAAATCACAATGCCGCCACAAAATAAAAAAAATCAGCAGCAAGTGTGCTCAACATTCAAATTTTGCATTTATATTAAATAAAAAATCTGAAAATTAAATGTTTTTTAAAGATAATTTAAATTACTTAGAACAGTTAAATATTTACAGTTTAATACAAAGTGCTATAGACCAAAACAATGAAAATATCATTGACATTTTACAAAATTCTTAGTTATTATCTTATTTACAATGTCACAATTCCAATAAAGAAAATCTCTAAGAACATTCTGTAAATTACAGCTCTCAATAAACTTATAGTAATCAGAACATTGCAATAACAAGAACATAAATGCTTTTGATAATCAAATACATCATCACATCATAATATCGTAATCATTGTTTGTTTTGTTTAAACTTTAAATCTGTGTTATATCTTGATATTGCAAATTCTTTTTTTTTCATATTGGACATAAAATTAAATCATATATAGGACATGAATTGTGTGATACTAACTAAACACATCACTTTTATACATAATTTATTAAATTTTTCAGTACATGTTAAAGTCAAATACGATATGACCAAATAATATACCTAAAATTATTCAATCAATTTTTTTCTAAATAAGTGTTCAGTTTAAATGTGCAACCTGACATGATTAGCATCATGGCATGGTACTAAAATCAAAGAATATATGTATTATTTGGAGCAATAAAACATTAAAAAACAAAAGTTATATAATATTTGTATTTGATGGCTGAAAAGAGTTAAAGTTTGTTTACCAAGTAATCAACAAATTATACAAATTTAT